ATCGAAAGATACTTTAAACCAAAATACATCGACATTTATGAACAATGCTCCGTGGAGGACCCAAGAAAGGAGAGATTGTGGTGGTTCGTATAGAAAATATAGGATCATCATCATGATAACCGTAGGATCTCGTACAAAAATACAAGATCGTACGGCTATGAGAGTGAAGAACATCATGTGATGTATCCCAAAGTGGGGACCTAAAGGAAAAAAAGAGAATCGAAACGGCGCCGTACAGGGACCAAAACGGAGAGAGGACGTCCTCCGTAATAGAAACATCAAAGCTAAGAAAAAAAAAAAAAAAAAAGAAAAGTGTATTAAGTCTGAGTTTGAGAAGAGTGTGCGTGGTCCCGACAGAGAGAGAGCTGACACAATTAGTCACTTGTCAGTTCAGTATCGTCAGTTGTCAGAATTGGCCCTAATTTATGCAAATACCTCCATTCATTTATCGCTTGAATTATACTACCAACAGTCTTATAAAAAAAAAAAAAAAAATTGTTTACGTAAGATATTTGGTACGGTAAAAAACTGTAAGTTATTACTGCATGCATAGATTTACATGACCAGCTAAAAAGCTCATACAAATAGAATAATATGGTGACACAAATAAGTAACTCTTGTTGTTTTTCTCTGTAAATAAGTAAAGCGTTTTGTGAATTGTGATTAATTAACAATATGTGACAGTCGTATAGAGAAAAAAACAAAATATCTCTAGATGTTTCTTGTATTGTTTCAGGAGTTTCAGACAAAAGGATGCAAACGGACAATTTTTCATCAATGAATTATTTCCACATATTATGCTAATTAATGCTACTAATGAACAGTATTTCAGTAATTTAAGTCACTTGGCCTAAAAAATGGAAACATAAAATATAACTTTGGTTCATATTACGGTTTTGGTTGCGTCTACTTATAGGACCTTTACGGCTTTACCCATATACACTCTTTTGGTCCTGAATATATATAGCCGTTAATATATGTTCAAACGAAAAAATATATTTTTTTTTATATGGAGACTTCGTAATATATGTATCAAATTACAAAAATTGCTATCTTTTATATTTGGGATAAAAAGATAAATATATTCCTCGGGTAAAAAAAAAAGATAAATATATTACTAATTTTTTTTTTAATGAATGGACAATGACTCAGACGTTCGAGTCTTTTTACTCATATTTTGAGTCTCCGGAGAAACATTATTTGGTTATTTATATATAGGTTTTGTTTACTTTTGGTCTATGGAAAAAAATCAAACAAGCAATAAAGATAATATTTTGTGAACGTGATTAATTAGTAGAAAAGAAGATAAAAACGACAAAATCAAAACGAAAAAAAAAAATTATAAACAGTAGATGGAAATCCGAAAACACTGCTATTGAAGATATGAATGTTTGATTTTATGAGGAGTCGGTCCATATATAGATTTAAGCACTATAGTCTAAGAAGAAGCCAGCCAATCTTATCTCATGACACATAATATATATAACAAAAGAAGATGGATATCAAAGTTAATCATTTGGAAAGAAAAATCTAGACACAGATTTTGAAAGGATAAAATGTAAAATAAAAATTGCATGAGAGAGAGGGCACATGTCCCCTTTTAGCCTTCTGTTCTTGAAAGGGAAGCCAAAATAGTTTCACTTCTGTATTTTCTCAGCCACTGTTCTTATTTGGGACCTCTCTCCCTTCATATAAGTAACTTTTTTATGTGTCCATTTCTTTATTTCGTTCTTATTATAATTTTCTTGGTATACATATTGTTTCGTTTAAATTTATTTTAAAAAAAGAAGAAGAGATTTTTCAAAATTCCAGCTGTGAATTTAACCCTTTCTCGATCGAAAGTCTATTTTGGCGTTTGTTCTGTGACCATCCTCTCGCGACGTCACCGTTTTCATATCCATGCAAAATATTTTGAAGATAATATATCTCTATCCCCACTTTTTCATTGATTATATCTACTTTTTATATACATATATGTACACATTTCTAAGATTTGATCGAAACATTTTTTCTGTTTTGATAAAGATCGAAACAATTCTTTGTTAAAATACAAACAAAATCTATCATCATTGTCCATTTCCACGAACAATAGTTTTTATTATTACTTTCACATCCTGCATGATTATAACTAATTCCATTCATATATATTATATTTTCATGTCAAATCAACTAATTTAGATATTTTTGGCATTATTGTTGTTGTTGCTGCAATATTAATTGATTTTGATGATTGTCTGCATCATAATGAATATGAAAAACGGGGAAACAATATACTCTACCATATTGTACTATAAGGTCAGACTTTCAACATTAATTCTTTGATCAAGGATTGGTGGAATGTTATCTTCCTTTCATATAAATTGTCCCCTACCAAAAAGTATATACCATAATGCATGACCAATTAATAATGATGGTTTTACGTATATATAGGCCCATCGTTCAAAGTTCAAACCAAACACTTCTCCTTCTTTACTGTATTTTTAATATTTTTTTTTCATATAATTGTAAGTTTTCAATTCTATACATTCGCTCTATATAGTACTATTGTTGCATTGATAAATTTAGCTATATCGTGAATCTTTGGAAGACATTTTTTTACTATTGCAGCACCGCAAGTTGACTACTTATTAGTTGATGCCTCATATATTTAATCTCATTTTAATACAAGTAACAGATTATTATTACCCTTATTATTATGTGTAAAATGGTTTACATTTATTGAAACACAATATATATAAACGTATATAAAAGAGACGAAACTATATGTGAACAGAAATGAATTGTTTTTTTGAAACAATTATTGGAACGTTTCGATATGAAGGTGAGAAATGGAGAATTATATTTTTTTTTATAAAATAAAAATAATTCAGAGGCTTACTAGGGCGAGGCCCCCTCTATGTCGTGAACGCTCACAGGAGCCTTACTTATTTTATCTCTTTGCATCAAATCTTATCGACGGAAAACTTTTATAACCCACAAAATGATTCTATACTAGGTCACACGGCCAACCAATAATATACTGTGTTACATAATTCTTTTACAAAGCTTATCTACTATGATACTTGGTATTTGTTTTAAATTAAAAAGCCCATAATCTAATATATATTGTTATGAAAGACGAATGCAGACCACACGATGTAGAAATTGACATCTGGTTAACGGATAACTTACATAAAAACTCTGTAAATTCAAATTTTAATTAATATTTCAGCTTTGCAGGAAAAAAAAAGTGTCCAAATTGACATGACATATATACCATAATGCAGTATTTGTAAACCTTTTTCACAAATTTAATTAATGTTTAATTTACATAAATTATCATATTAATTTATGTAATAAGCAACCCCCAACTGCAATTATAAAGAATAACATTTTGCAATTGTCAACATTACTACAATCTATAGATGTATTTATAATTCGTCTATGAAGAAGTTATATACTGTATTTTCATTTAATAATTTGGTTGGAAGGTTCTTTAGTCAAAGAAAAGCCATTAATAGCTGGAGATTAGAACTCCATTGAAAATGAAAACACATGTTTCTTAGTTTACTAACAATTCACAAATTATATAAATCCAGGACTTAAGTTGCTGTTTAAATCTAATTTGTTCACCGGATGGAGACAAAACATGAAATAACGGATAAATTAATTGTAAACCATGGTTTCAAGCTTATGTTAAAGCAGAGAGTCAAACGAAACATTAATATTAGTGTTGGCTCTTTAATTATAAATATTAATTATAGCTCTCTAAATCACACCCGTTTTGGCTTAAGGTAAAATAATGGAAGCTACGCTAAGTATGATTTGGTTCATGTGGTACATTTGTTTTTTTTTTGTTTGGTTTATAAGTTCGTTATATATATATATATTTTCGAAAATATATATGTCTACTAAAGTCATATTTTTAATATATTTTATTAAATTTATATAAAATTATATATATATATATATATATATATATATATCTATTAAAAATTTAGTGTCCATTTAGTGGAGATATAACTATAGAGCAATATATTATGAAACAATTTTGTAAAGAAATTTATTGTAAGGCATAAAATAATACACATTTATAAAGAAGTTCAAAATTAAAGGAGTGTCTTGATAAATATAAAATGTAAAACAACATTTTCGTGCCAAATGGTTGTTTCAAAAAGATTCGAGATTTCACGTGTAATGAACTTGTTTGTATCTTAATCGAAATCTACTTACCCTAATAATTTTTAGACGTTACAGTAAACTGCCTTAAAATAAAAAATGCATGGTCAATATAGCCATCAATATTGTCTATCATACTTAGCTTTTTGTTTTTGTTTAGTTTTTTTTATATGTTCAAAATACCAATATGAAACTATATATAGAAAACTAGCTTGGATCAGTAAACATACATGCCATACAGTCTTAATTTACTTATAGTCTTACATTTGACCAAAATATACTCAAACATGTTTTACAAAAACCAAATGTACCACATGAACCAACACTAGCAAATTTTGAATACAACAATAATATTAGTACAAATTAAATTTATTTGGTTTTAAAAGTTGTACAAATCATTGGATGCTCTAGAGATTTCTCAACCACATTTATAAAAAAAAAAAAATTTATTTCTTGAACTAGTAGTTTTTATAAAATTTAGGATTTAAGACGTATATACATGTATATTGGTAATACGTATCATATACAACATCTTTATGTAAGGTCCACCAATGAATTATATTGGGTAAGTAATTGATTTTAGTTTATTTTTTTCCATCTTATGTGACAAATCAGTCCAAAAAAATGGATACATTGTCAATTTACTATTAATGTATTATCCATAAAAGTTAATTAAATATACAAAATATATATATATGAAAAAGGTAGCTTAGATTCTTTTTAATGAATTTTTTTAAAGGAAAAAATAATAAAAAAATGAAGGAAAAAAAAGACTGCCAACTCCTTTATTAAGATGGCAAGAGAGAGCTCTGAGATGAGAGAAGCATCACCAAAAAAAAAAAAAAAAAAATAAAACATATCTCTCTTTCCTTATAAATTTTTCTCATTTCTTAAAACCTCTCTACAGACTCATATCATCAGAGAGCTCTTCACGAGAGAACTCTTTCTCTTTCCCCATTTAAAGATCAAATCTTTCTTCTTTCTTCTTCTTCTTCTTCTTATTACATCATCATCATCAACATCATCACCACCGTCATGTGTAACCCATCAACAACAACCACCACCACCGGTTCAGAGAGCCAAGAATCTCGAACCGGAATCTTCCTCGATCTCTTGTCGATCAATAGCTTTGAACCCACAAAGAGAAGTCTCCGGCATTGCGAGAACAGAGGATCTCCTCTAATGGCAGAGGCTGTAACAGAGGCCAAGACTCTCTTCACGCTAGCTTTCCCGATCGCTGTGACGGCTCTAGTCCTCTACCTACGCTCAGCGGTATCAATGTTTTTCTTGGGTCGACTAGGTGACCTCGAATTAGCCGCCGGTTCTCTCGCCATTGCCTTTGCTAACATAACCGGCTACTCTGTTTTATCCGGTTTAGCACTTGGTATGGAGCCACTCTGTTCTCAGGCCTTCGGTGCTCACCGCTTCAAACTCCTCTCCCTTACCCTTCATCGAACCGTGGTTTTCCTCTTGGTTTGTTGCGTACCGATCTCGGTTCTCTGGTTGAACGTCGACAAAATCTCGGTTTACCTTCACCAAGACCCCGACATCGCCAAGTTAGCTCAGACGTATCTCATCTTCTCCCTCCCTGATCTCCTCACCAACACTCTTCTTCACCCTATCAGAATCTACCTTCGCGCTCAAGGCATCATTCACCCCGTAACCCTAGCTTCTCTCTCCGGCGCTCTTTTTCACATCCCCGCTAACTTTTTGGTCTCTTACCTCCGTCTTGGCCTAACCGGCGTTGCCGTCGCTTCCTCCATCACGAACATCTTCGTTGTAGCTTTCCTCGTTTGCTACGTCTGGGCGAGTGGTCTTCACGCGCCTACGTGGACTGACCCGACCCGTGATTGTTTCCGCGGGTGGGCTCCGTTGCTTCGTCTCGCGGGTCCGAGCTGCGTCTCCGTGTGCTTGGAGTGGTGGTGGTACGAGATCATGATCGTTCTCTGTGGTCTGCTCGTGAATCCGAGATCGACCGTCGCTGCTATGGGCGTTTTGATCCAGACGACATCGTTTCTTTACGTTTTCCCGTCGTCACTGAGCTTCGCTGTGTCCACTAGGGTAGGTAACGAGCTGGGAGCGAACCGTCCTAAGACGGCGAAGCTAGCTGCTACTGTAGCTATTGTCTTCGCGGTGGTTACGGGGATTACTGCGGCGGCGTTTGCCTACTCCATTAGAAATGCTTGGGGTTGGATATTCACCGGAGACGACGAGATTATCCAGCTAACAGCGGCGGCGTTACCGATATTGGGTTTATGCGAGATCGGAAACTGTCCTCAGACGGTGGGATGCGGCGTCGTGAGAGGAACAGCAAGGCCGACGACGGGGGCGAACGTGAACCTGGGAGCGTTTTATCTGGTGGGCATGCCGGTGGCAGTTGGTCTCGGGTTTTGGGCCGGGATTGGGTTTAATGGGCTTTGGTTAGGACTACTCGCGGCGCAGATTAGCTGCGCAGGTCTTATGATGTACGTCGTGTGGACAACGGATTGGGAAGCGCAGGCTAAGAAGGCGCAGTCGCTAACATGCGCGGAGACTGTAGAGAAGGATATTTTAAAGACGGTGGCAAATACTATAGGGGACGGCGGTGAGTGCGATGATGCAGCTGAGCCGTTGATTCGCGTCACGGTGCTTTATTAAAATTAATTAAGAACAAAAAAGATTATAATTATAAATCGTATAATTATAATTTTTATTCCCATCTTCTTTTCATTAGAAGGAGAAAGTTTTGTCTTTCTTGAGAAATTTAACATTTTCTTCTCTTTTTTTTTTATTGTACTTAACAATATTTTTTTTAATCTCCTTATTTTTTCTCGATGCCTTTATGATTGGCCGTTTATATGGAGTAATCTATGAGTTTTTTTTAAAAGGAAAAAAAATCTTGGCCGTTTACATATATATGCCAAATACTTGAATAAATTCACATGAATGCAAAAAAAAAAAAAAAAAGTAATCACATGAATTGATAAAAATGTAACAACTAAAACATTTAATTACACACCCAATCTGAGACAAAAGATGTTGGGACCATATATATAGCTGGAGCGACAGAAAATTATTAATTGAAAATAATTTTCAATATTTGTGTTTGTGTTTTGAAACATATGTTTTGTAAAGTTTAGATAATTGTATGAAGAGAAGATTTTTTCACTCGGTTGAATGTAATAATAGAAGGAAAACAAAAATAAAGGTGATGAATAAAAAGAGAAAAATGGGTTAAGAGGAGATAAAAATAGGAAAGGGAGTAAAATGGGAAAAAAGAGTGGCAACCCTGTGGGAAACAAAAACTTGTGTCTCAAAGATTCAGACAGGTCTGAATGAATGTTTTGGATTCCCTATAGAGAGACTATCTATCTAGAGAGAGTGCTGTTTTGTTTCACAGATGAGAGAGAGAGATATGTAATATCAAGTCCCAAGGACCATTGTATTGCATCATCTCATCATATCATTTCTTTCCTACATTTATATATATATATATATATATTTTTCTAAATTTAAAATTGTTTTATCCATTTATAATTCTGCATTTCGATGGTCATGGTTCCTATTTTTTTTTTATAATTCATATCTAAGATTTTTTCTTTTCCTTCATAACAGTATATGTATTATTTTAAATTTTTTAACTATAGCAATTTCATGACCATGGAGAAATATGGGAAGGGACGTGTATTTGGTAAGAAGTTGTTATACACTGTTAAAATATAACGAAGTTATTATAAAACACCATAAATAAAAATATATAGTACTGTATTTTCGAATTTGTTTGTGGTTTCACAATGAAAATATAATGAAATTAATAGGTATAAAGAAGTAGTATAACTGTAAGAGTTAAGTGCTGGATCAGTACTTTTTTGAGTGGCATTTTAGATTTTTTTTTATTTTCTTATATCTAAAATACTATAATTTTACACATTATGTTTTGAGTTTGTTTTGGTTACTTCTTAGAGATTAATTAGTATTTGTTATAAAGTATGTATTTTAGCAAAAAAAAAAAAAATCATAGACATACACTTTCAGAAAAAGTAAAAAATCATAAATCCAAAAGTTTGAGTGAAAATGGCACATATATAAAATTTTGAGTAAGAAAATGGCAAATCCTATAATAATTTCTAATTTTAATGAAATAAAGTATTTATGATTAATTTTAATGTGTTATTATAGTATTCAATCACATTAAATATTGTATTTTCTCTTCTTTTATTTAAATATCTTTAATAGTGGGGGTGCCAGGAGAGGTTTAATACAATGATTTAATGCAATAGTTCATAATTTTTGTCAGTGCAATAATTAATTAAAATAGTACTACATCCCCATTTATTTTATTTTTAGGCATAATTAGCACCACATTTATAATAAGTTAGATAAAAATAGAATGCACAGCTGCGATCCATAATACCTACTACTGTACATCATAATGTTCTTTATATATGTATATAATTCTGAGTACCAAAGTTTACATTGGTAATGCACAAACGTTTTTATATTATTTTCATTGAGTTAAAAATATAAATTTTGATATTCACACTAATATAAAATAGAAATGATGGTACTGACTCCTCTCAGAATAACTTCGTACTACTAAAATCTTATGTGACAATTTGGGTACCAATTATTGAAGTACTGAACTTATCCTCTGAAACATAATAACAAAAAAAAATTGGGGAAAAGAGGACAAAATTTTCGAAAACAGTGGAAGAATCTTTTAAATTTCTCATTCAATTTCAATAAAGTGCAAACAAATTTTACAGCAACTATTTACTAATTTCATACCAACCAATCTTTAATTTCGGCGAAGACCATAGATTGATTACACACACACACGTAAGTATGTATCATGATAGTCTAATACATATAGATCACATTTTGCAAACTGAAGTGCTTGCTTTATTTTCTTTAAACATCTAACAAAATTTTACTATTTATCTGATCGGGATACAAATAAAACTCACTCATTGTGGTCTTTATTTGACCGCATCTCTCCATATACAGTCTTCTGACAGAAGCATATATATATCTCCAAAAGAATTCATGAACCTTTTACATCATTCGGGTGTGAAAAAATAGTATAGCATTAACAAGCGTTGTATACCAAAAATAAAAAGATTCAAGCGTTGAATGTTAATATATTCAAACCTTATTATAGGTTAGCTAGGTGTTATATATAGAAACTATAGACCTATTTCCTCAGGTTTTCCTATTCTTTGAATCACCTAGAATGCAAAAGATTCCATTTTGATGAAAAAAGAATCTAAGATATGAAAAAAGCGTAATAAATGGTGAAAAAGATTATAGATCAAGAAAGAAGAAAAAAAAGGTTGGAGCCAAAACAAAAACAAAAAAATACATGAAGAAAGAGTTAATTTCACTGCCCCAAAAATAGATAACATTTGTGTGGGGGAGGGAGAGAGAAGACAAAAGTAGTTGAGAGAGAGAAAGTGAAGAAGGAGAAGCAGAACAGTGGCAGATGTCCCACATATTAAGACAGAGCACAAGTTATATAATTGGAGTGTACTGCTCACATTCCACACGAGGGGGCCTCTCCCTTTACTTACCCTCCTCTTCTTCTCACTAGTCACTCACTATTTATTAATTTGACTTGTATGTTTGTTCCTTTCTTTTAACCAACAAGTAAAGCTTACTATTGCAATGGATTATTAGTTTGTTGTTCATCTTATCATCTCAATCTTACTACTTCATGCATCTATAAGCTACCATATACAGTAGTAAGTTTTGGCAATCTTTCTCCACTGCCGTGTTTATTAGTTTCTGCGGCCAACTACAATGCACTGAATCAAAGGAGTAAGGAGTCATGTTGCAATGGACTGCAACATGATACTTGACTAATCAACTAACTACCTAAGAAAATGCATTCATACTTTCAGAAGCCAACAACTTAAGATTCAAAGTGATAGTATCAAATGCTGTTTGATCTATGTATGTGTTGCTAAATATCAACTTATCATCAATAGTATTAGATCATGATATTTTATGAGATCATATGCACATATATCTTTAAATTGAAGCATAAGTTTTCGCGTTATTTGGAAATATATACTTTTTATTATCAACTATGAAAGAAATATCTAGTATCCTAATTAAATATTTTGTTTGACATTATTTTCTTACATATGTTATCTAAGTTAGTTTTAATAATCTAAGAACACGTTTCTACATGCTACTTAGTTTGATTTAGACCAAAGAAATTCTATTGAAAATGACATCATCATTAGTTTGAAGAATCTTTGTAGAAGACATTATCACATGCACACTTAAACAAAAATAACATTCTATTCTGAGTGTTCTCTAATTGGAAGAATCTAATATTCTGGCGAAACATTAGTTAATCATATCATTGATTTTGTGTCAACTCTTTTTTATCATGTATATTTGGCATTTGAGTGCTTATAATGCAATTGTACTAGTCCAAATACTTCAGTGCACTAATGATAATGTAAATTAATGTGAAAACTAATTTATTATTTTGATTGGGGACAAATCCATCTAAGAACCATGGTGGATGCTGTTTTGGACATATATTATAAATGGTGGGAAGCTATATATATATAACAAATGGTATATATATAAAAATGGGAGATATGTATATATTAATGTATCTATAAGTCTTTCGACCAGAAAAATATATCTATAAGTCAAAGTTATTTTATAGCTTATCTTTCTTAGTAGATCAGCTCAACCTCTATATATAATTATTGATAAATATCTAGCCACTCAAAACTATAGTATATATATCCAAGTGTATCTATATGTGCATGACCATAAGCAAAAGCTATCTTTTCATGTCACATGGGTTCCATTTATGGTAACAATCCATCCCAATTTATAACCAATAGTGGACAAACATGTGATAACAAAGACCACAAATGAAAACACATATTACAAATTTTAAATAATCAAAAATTAAAATGAAAGGACACAAACTAAACCACCATGCTATGAGAGACCAAAACACATGCGCATACATGGGAGCCTACACTGGCATGTTTTGGCGAATGCCCTAATTTTCTAATTTATTTGTCCACCTTATAACCAACACTTTCACAATATCATACCCATCTTTGTCCTATAATTCCCGAAAATAAATAACAAAAGAGGTGACATAAACTCATTTTAAGAAAATCTTCTCCACAAAACTATTATCTAACATTTCAAAAAAGTTTTTAAGAGATTTAATTAGTTGCAATTTGTGATTGTACTTTCACGCAAAGGTTATCCTAGACAAAATCTTGAGACTAGTTCAATCAAGAAGTAAACATGTTTTCTTACGTGTTATGGACCTTAGCTTTTAGGGTTTTAAATTTGAAAAACTGTGTGATAATATATGACATTGAAGTGATGTAGATTGACTTGCATACGTCATACATATATATTCATGAAAGTAAGAGTTTATTATCTATCAAATTGAAGATAGTTAAATACTCAAATTTTCCTCATATCATACATTTGAATCAGTACTAATCCATTACCAGAAAATTATGTAGTGATATAAAAAAATATGGCCGACCCGACATGGTTTTTTCTTCTGAATTTTATAATTTTATTTAACTTCAATTGACATAATAAATTGTATATAGATACTTACATATTGAAATTTGCAAGTTGCATGTTTAAATGATATACATAAATAATAAAATATCTGTATATTAAGCTACAAGATTCATGAACACATGACTTGCCTGTGGGACACTCTTTTCTCCACATGTTTTCCTTTTCTTGCTCTTTTTAGGGCTTTTTTACCAGACCTTTTGTTATTTCTTTCCTCAATTCACATGTCTTGATTTTGAAATATGTAGACCCAACCATTTGACTCTCCTTAATGATTTGACCAGCATAATTTTATAGTCTTTAAGGGTTAAACAAGCAAATTACGAGTGAGTATGGTACATAGGAATGTTTGTTCCTTTCAGTATATGTTCCATAGATATTGAATCTGGATATCTTTTAATTTTGGTTTCTGTTTCCCACCTTAAGTGAACCAAATCAAAAGTGGGATGGAGCCTAGCTACTTAGCTAGCTAGACTAATACATATAAAACTATACACTAATTGCAAACTATGTAGTTTCAAAAATACAACTTCACGTAAGATTTATTAATTTGAAGAAAAGGTTTGAAGATTACTACACATATGAACATCAAAGTTCATACACCAAACCGTTAAATGTACATCTCCTCTGGGTTAAAAAAACCATTGATTTTCACTTCGTTTGTTAATTATGTTGGAGACATGGAGCGAAAGTTCTATTTCTGATTTTTGTTACACTAGAGCAAGAAACCAAACCGATTTAAGGGATATATGGTTAACTATATAGTATGCTGGTTGCTTCTTTGGTCATGTGACGTCTCTCGCTTTTCTGGTCTGATGATGTCTAAAGGAGAGTTATGGGTATAAACCCAAACCACTGTTCCACATAACTGTCTTCTTCTATGGAAGGAAACAAACCAAAACATCCTTCCATAGATATATATATATATATAATTTTCGCCATGTAATGTAAGTTGCCTAAGGGCCCATTTCAAGAACTTAGCCAAGACGAATTTAACGTTATTAGTCCATGTAAGGCGCAGTTGGGCCTAGTTTGATTAACTGAAGAAGAAAAACTAAGTGAAAACCGAAATAGACATTATCTGGCATAAGTCAGTACCAAGCCCAACAGTTTGTGTCCTGCCTTATATGAGATCCAAAACCAGCAAAAAGCAGCAGCACCTTGAGGATCCCTAAAGCATATAAGGTTCACGTGCAAAATCAAGGTGCCCAATATTTGATACTATTTCGGTACTCAATAGTTGATAATCTTGAGATACAACAATCGTAACAGAAAGCAAAAAAAAAAAAAAAACCTATCAAGTCCAAGTGTACGTCGAAATTGAAGAAAGGACCGCAAGAGAAAAGGATTGTCAAATTCAAATGACCGAAGAGCCGAAGACTTTTTTACTTCCATAATTAGACAAGAGATACGTGACCTCACTCTCTAGATTCTCTACTTTTTCTTTTTAATCTTCTCTGATTCAAACTTTTAACGCAACATTTTTGTAGATAAATATTATAATTGGTGGTAATGGTGATTACTAGTATTACTTTCTTATAACCCCCACAGAGTATTCCATTTTCTAATAAAGCAAGCCATTTATCGTAGATTTTATGTTTGTATAAATACACTTTAAATCCTTTCTTTAACATACTAGTTGTTCAATCAGTTAAGTCATAACTAGTAGTATGTTTTTAATCCATGTTAGAGCAACATGAAATAACATTGGACTGCTCTCTATCAAGTGATATAGTAATATATTCCTAAAATATTCCTTTAGCTATAATCTTGAAAAAAAAAACAAATAAATGGGGTTGTCTCAGTTCTCAAGAAATTTCATTTTCGACTTTACAAATTCATTCAGAGTTTTTGGGTAGTAGAAAATGACAAAGGCTGTGAACTAAAAATTGGCATGTTAGGTCTCCTCCACTGAGTTGGAATCACTGCCTGCTGGGATCTGTTTTATCTATAAAACAGAATTTTTGTTTTCTCTTTTTTATTTTGTTTGTTCCTCGAATATCATTATATTCCCCCAAAAGAGGATCATAATTCAGATGAAATATGCAATGATTTGGACTATATAGGCTCCAAATAAACAATGTTCTGTAGTATACGGATGCAACATGACATAGATTTAAGTTTTTAGACTATGTAAAACATGTGTTTTGTAGCAGATCAAAGCACAGAACAAGGTTTACTATGGAACGGTAATCTAGTTAATAAATAACAATAGTTTTCTCTAAAGATCGAAACATTTGGAATTTATATTAAACAAAGTAGACGACCATTGGCATTATTTGCTTAGTAAGGCGGCCAAGAAGAGCGTTACGTTCTCCTTTTCACTGTTTTTTTTTTTACTGCCAATTTCTCCTTTTATCAGAACTTTATAAAAAGTTAATCAAGTTGGGTTTCCAAGGCGTATACATATAGCATAATATGTAGATACAATAGACAACACATACGATAAATTTATAAGAAATACTATAGAGGAATTTCGAAACCAAAAAAAAAAAAAAAACTGTGTCCAACTTTATACGTTAAATTTAGATCGCACAACCAAATTCCACAGATTGGCTACACACATTAATAATTTGTTTTATCTTTCGTGTTTCCATCACATAGACCTACGTTTTTTTTTTTTTTTTAGACCTACGTTTTTAGTTTGATAAATATATTTCATAGGTAGAAAACTGTAATAAACAAATGATTCTTCAATATGGTGATTCAGTTCCTCTTGTCTGATTCATTTTTTATTTTTTTTTCAGAAACAAAAATATTTGTCTTGAGCTAATTAAAAGGAAAAGAAAAGGATAATTGCATGGGAATGTCAAACATGATTACGCAAACAACTTCTGCAGGTAAATAAAGTTTGCAGAAAATGGAAAAGCACCTGTCTATATGATAGCTGTCTTGAACGTCTCATTACTTCAAATTTTTTTTTATGTTTTTTCTTCCATATCTTTTTTTTTGAAAAATGGTCAGGTTCATACGCACTGATGAATTATCATAGACCGTATTACACAAACTATGAACGTATTTTTCTCTAATTGTAACCCTTAATTACATTTCAGGGTACATTAAAAACAAAAATGGAACCTAACTTACGAATAACCTTCATCACTATACGTTAAACTGTAGAACACTGTAAATGGACCCTATCACGGCCAAATCGTACGCCATACTTCGTCGTATCTTATTTTTTTTAATATATATATATACATACACCTTCTCGTGTTGGTCAATAAAAAATAAATAGATACTAAAAAAATAAAAACCTGTTTCTTTTACTCACAAGTGAAACCATTACAAGAAAGAAGAATCTCATCACAAAATTGACCACAGAGTAAAAGAGACAAGACAAAAAAAAAAAAATGGGTCGAGCAACGAGATGGTTTAAGGGTTTGTTCGGAATCAAACCGTCCTCATGTTCCGGTTCCGATACCGGTGCCATTTCCAACCGTCTTGACCGCTCTCTTTGCGACAGCTACGAGACCATACCACCAAACATCTCCGAGAAAGAAGCTGCGTGGCTAAGGTCGTTCTACGCGGCTGGTGAAGAGGAGAAAGAGCGTAGAACGCATGCAATAGCGGTTGCTGCGGCCACAGCTTATGCCGCTGACGCAGCCCTTGCGTCTGCTAAAGCGGCTGCTGCGGTTGTTAGGCTCCAAGGTCAAGGAAAGAGTGGTCCGCTTGGAGGTGGAAATACTCGTGAGAACCGTGCAGCTATGCAGATCCAATGCTCCTTCAGAGGCTACTTGGTACTTACAATTTTTACTAATCCTTTTTTTTAATTAATTATTAAGTAACTGAGCGTTATGTTTTTGTAACGTAAAGGCGAGAAAAGCTTTGAGAGCGTTGAAAGGAGTGGTGAAGATACAAGCTTTGGTTAGAGGTTATTTGGTACGGAAACAAGCGGCGGCGACTCTCCGGAGTATGGAAGCACTTATTAGAGCTCAAGCCACTGTTAAGTTTCAGAGAGCTCTCCGCCGTATCGGAAATGCTGCTCCGGCGAGAAAGTCCACGGTAACTTTACTTACTTTTCCGGTTTGACCGTACTGGCTTTTATGTTGAGATTATTAATACGAGTATTTTTTAATTATCTTAACTAATTTCTAAGTAGATAAGAATAAACTTGTTTACTAATTTTGTAAGAGCAAAATGTTTAAACTTTGCAAGAACTGTTTAACCTTTATGTAAAAAGTTGAAATCTTTTGAACTAGTTTGTAAGCAGATTGAAACTTTTTGAACCAAATTGTGAAAAGATATAAACAAACTTTTTTTTAACCTGGTTGTAAAAAGTGTTGTTGATGTAACTTTTTTTTTTACAGGAAAGATTCTCCGGATCTTTGGAAAATCGAAACAACGGCGAAGAGACAGCTAAGATAGTGGAGGTAGATACAGGAACCAGACCCGGAACTTATAGGATCCGAGGACCCGTTTTATCCGGGTCGGATTTCTTAGACAACCCGTTTCGACGCACGCTCTCTTCACCTCTTTCCGGTCGCATCCCACCGCGTCTGTCAATGCCTAAACCCGAATGGGACGAGTGCAGTAGCAAGTTCCCGACGGCACAGAGTACACCTCGTTTCGCAGGTGGGTCTCCGGCGAGGAGTGTATGCTGCTCGGGCGTCGGAGCAGAGGCGGAGGTGGATGCTGAGGCTGATGCTATCGCTCACCGGTTCTGTTTCTTGTCGGGAGAATTTAACTCGGGTTACACGGCAGATACAATGTCGTTTAGGGCGAAATTGAGGTCGCATAGTGCACCGAGACAGAGGCCGGAGAGTAATGCTACCGGCGGAGGATTGAGGAGGAGTATCGGTGGCGGTGTTCGGATGCAGAGACCGTCGTGTTCGGGTGTCCGAGAAGCCGTGGTTGGGAATATCGAAAGGCGTAGAATGCATTGGTGATTCTTATTCTCGTGTATCAAATTTTCACATAGTTTGATACTCTTAAGAGTTTTGTAAGCTTCTTGACTGACAAAATTCAAAACGTTCTTGTCTCTTGTTTGGGATTTGCATTGTGTATTATCGCATTGATATTCATTATCGTGTATTAAATTTTGTGTAGTGCTGTAATCGCGACATTGTCCGGTTAGCAAACTAAACAACGAACTTGGTTTGGTTAAACTACTTATCCACTATGATCGCCTAGTACGCATGCACGAGACTGATCGTAAACTTCCACTTAAATATATACACGTGCCAACGATTCTTCAACGCGTGTGGGAAAAGAGAAACTTGCTTCCTTCGATCTTAATCCTTCTCTGTCGTCTCTCTCCAAACAAACGCGGAAGAACACAAAAATAAAGGTCCCTCCTTTATATAGTATAGATTTCCATTATTTTTCCTTTACTCTTTAAAATTGATCTTCCCCATCGCCAAATCCAGATTTCATAAGGTATATTGGATTCAATTCTTACGAAATCTGTTTCGTTCTCGTTATCTATTGATCCGATCGGTTCATAACTAGGGTTGATTTTGTTTTTTGTAACTTTTAGTGACCTGTGATCGTTTTCGAAGTGGGTTTCTTAATCGTCGGTGAATTTGAGCAACTATGATGAATCGGTTATTCGGGAAACCCAAGCAGGAGTCTAATGCTCTCCAAACTTTAGACAAGCTTAACGAGGTATGTTCCGATTCCAACACTTCTCTGTGTCAATCAACGTTTGATTTGAAAAAACATCAAAAATTCGATCTTTCAAGCTGAGCTCTGTACTGGCTGTTTACTCTTAGTTTTGATCTATTTGGTTAAGGTTCCAAATCCGTTTTTCGATTTGTAAAAACCATATAGTTGACTGTTAATTGAATTGGGGATTTCAAGTTTTTGTTTATGTTGTTTCAATTTCTAAACTTTTCCATGGTTTGGCTAATTGTTATGTTTGTTTGTATCAGACGCTTGAGATGCTAGAGAAAAAGGAGAAAGTACTTTTGAAGAAGGCTGGTCAAGAGGTTGAGAAGGCTAAAGAATACAGCCGGTCAAAGAACAAACGCGGTACAATCATATTTTCTGTGACTATTATGATTCATTAGTATTTTTATTTATATACAGTCTATGCTTGTTGTGTCTTTGTTATTACTCAAGTACTTAAGGTGTATCTGTCTTGTGCAGCGGCTATACAATGTTTGAAAAGGAAGAGGTTATATGAGCAGCAAGTTGAACAACTTGGGAATTTCCAGCTTCGTATACATGATCAAGTGAGTTTTATTTTTGATTTCTGTTACGCTCCTTTTAAGTTTATTAGTTTCAGCAGTAAATGATGACTTTATTGGGATCAAATCTCTCTTTTCATACAGATGATTATGTTAGAAGGTGCAAAAGCAACAACTGAAACTGTTGATGCATTGAGGAGTGGAGCTTCTGCAATGAAAGCAATGCAAAAAGCAACGTAAGTATTTATCACATTTAAACCATTTGCTTAACCATTTTATTCTTATTGGTTTTGGGAATCAGTAACAATAACAATAACATTAACAAACTTCATTATCTCCTTTATCTTTTTGTATTTTTGCCTTTTAGCATTGCTTGAATGTATTAATGTTTCAAGTGCCTACCTAACTTGGAAACACCCTATATATTGCAGAAATATTGATGACGTGGATAAGACCATGGACGAGATCAATGAGCAGACCGAGAACATGAAACAGATCCAAGAAGCATTGTCAACTCCAATTGGGGCAGCGGCTGACTTTGATGAGGTAGCTTCCTTGTTCTTGACATGATCTTATTTTTTCAGCTAATGATCTTTGTCTAACAAGAACTTTTCTCTTTGATAGGATGAGCTTGAAGCAGAGCTTGATGAACTAGAAGGTGCAGAGCTTGAAGAACAACTTCTTCAGCCGACAACAACCGCTCCATTGCCTTCAGTTCCCGTTCCAGCAGGGCGTCAAACCGCCCGTCCTGTTCCCCAGAAGCGGACTGCAGAGGAAGAAGAACTCGCTGCATTACAGGCTGAGATGGCCCTCTAAGGTCACTTCACTTCTCTTCTCTTCATCTATGCAAAGCTTAAACAATCAATCTGCTCACAGAGTATGGATTTGTAATCAATTACTAATGTAATTGGCTTTGGTTTAACTGCAGGTTATTCATCTCTCCGAGCAGAGACATGTATGCATTGATAAACAAGAACAGACGATGTATATAAGGATCTGAGTCAAATTAAATCGGAGCGAAACTTTTATAGTCCCCGTCATGAATGTTATCTGCATTTGATTGTTCTTCACATAATTTATCATTTTGTAATTTTTGTATCTTTTATGACACTCTTTACTTTTGTTAAATAATCTACTGAGTTAATTACTTTCGCCTTATAAATAAGATAGATTTAGCCATTTGTAGTCAACAATCCGTTGACATCGTCGCTATAAGAAGCCTTGCCGTTTTGGTGTTTTATAATTGAACTCCGCGTCGTTTATAATTCAATTCAAATTTAAGGGAAAAAATAGTGAAACAGAAAGCGAGGGATAATGCCCGCTTAAGTTTTCAAGTCTTCTTCAACAATTTTCATTTCGAAATATCTGAGAGAGAGAGTGAGCGAGAGAGAGGAAGAGAGAGGAGAGAGAGGAGTAGCAGAGCTTCAAAATCCTTTGGATTGCATCATCGGTAACAAGAGATCACGATGGTAATATACTCTGGACGATTGTGATTGATTATGTCTCGCAAATGATGAACCTCTGTGACCAGTTCGTGAATCGTTCTGGGAAGATCGAGTGATCCTCTGCAATTTTGTGATCTATGGTTATCGTGAACTGATGAGCGTAGCTTGTGTTTCTTCGGCTTACACGAGAATTTTGACTTTCGATTTCGACCTATTTGTTTGAATGTTTTGCAACCTCGATTTGTGTTTCTAATTTTCTTCGCGTAACTTTAGATAAAACTTTTCCTAGTTTTGAAATCCGTAGCTCTGTTTCTTTCTTCCGTAGCTCATGACAGATTTGTTTGAGGAATTTCCGCAAACACTTGGATTGCATGACGCGAATCAATAGGCTGTCTAAGATTTGCGTTTATCTAGCAGCCAATTTTCGAACTCTCAGCTGTAAATCAGTGTAGACTGTTTGGATTTTGAGATTTCGTTTTAGAAGCACTTTGATTGTCCATCATTTTGTTCGATTTCTTCTTCTTTTTTTGAAGATTTGCTCAACTCCCTATTGTTGATAACATTCAGTCGAAGAAACGAGGGCTTTCGCTGGAGGAGAAGCGGGAGAAGATGCTTCAGATATTCTATGAGTCTCAAGACTTCTTCCTAGTGAGCTCTTTTTTAGTTTTTACTGCTTGTTAATAGGCACTGGTTTAACCTGCCAAAACTCATCTTCCTCAAGTGCTCCGTTATTTTGTTATTGAGCTAATGGATTTGAGATACCAGCACTTATGGGTTTTGCAAATATTTTCAGCTAAAGGAGCTCGAGAAGATGGGGCCAAAGAGAGGTGTAATTAGTCAGTCGGTGAAAGATGTTATCCAGAGTTTGGTGGATGATGATCTTGTTGCCAAGGACAAGATTGGAATTTCTGTGAGTTGCTATGTTGGATCCTTTTATAACTTATATTTCATTTGTTGCCATGTAGTCCTTGTTGCTGTTATACGTCGTTTGACAGTGTTTATAAATTATTCACATGAAGATCTACTTTTGGAGCCTTCCCAGCTGTGCTGGCAACCAAGTGAGCAACCGTTCTCATCCTGATATAACATCAAATTGCTTCTTTTAAACTTGAGTATATCAAAGTTTATTGATTCTGATCTTATTCTGAATGCACAGCTTAGGAGTATTCGCCAAAAGCTTGATTCTGATCTTCAAGGTAGTAATAAAAGGCTAGCAGAACTTGTTGATCAGTGTGAAGCCTTAAAGAAGGGAAGGGAAGAATCCGTAAGTAATTTTGGTATGGCAGAATAAATGATATGAATAAAAACCTTTCATACTCTTTTCACCAGAACTGCTGTTCTTGCTTCAGGGAGAACGAACAGAGGCCTTGACGCAACTTAAAGATATTGAAAATAAACACAAAGAGTTGAAGGTCAGATTACATTGTCTATCTTTTTGCACAAAGGTTTTCTCGTTTTTAGAAAGTTACTTACAGTTTCTTCTTCTTATGTAGAACGAGATGGTACAGTTTGCTGACAACGATCCAGCTACCTTGGAGGCAAAGAGTAATTTCTGCATAATACACTACTTTTTTTTTGGTTTAATTTCCTAAGGTTTTCCCGTTCCTCGTGGAGCAAATACCAACCTCTATATTTCTTCTTATTCTGATAGGGAATGCAATTGAAGTTGCTCACCAATCGGCTAACAGATGGACAGGTTTTTTCATTTCCAAAACATGGGTATTTGTTTCTAAGTTTAAAATGTTCATAATATTTACAATTGTAGTTCTTTCAATCTTACTCAGATAACATCTTCACATTGCGACAATGGTGTTCAAACAACTTTCCCCAGGCCAAGGAACAGCTGGAACATCTATACACGGAGGTATCTTCAAGATCTTATCACCATGTTATCATTTTCAGTTTTCTCATTTTCTTCAATCATAGAGATCTAATCAGATCGGTAATTTTCAGGCGGGAATCACTGACGACTTTGATTACATAGAGCTATCTTCATTCCCTTTGAGCTCATCCGTTGAAGCTGATACTGCAAGGCAGCTGATAGAAGATGAAACTTAGTTTTAATACTTCAGAGCATGACAGTTAAAGACACTCTAGCTAAATCAAAATCTTCTTAATCACTATCCTTCTTAAGAAGTTTCTGGTTCTTTACAGTTGTCCTAAAGGTTGCAACGGTCTTTCATTGTTTGTGACCAGATCATCTTAAATCAAAACTCTTTCACGTCAGTTTTGTGGTCAGATAAAAGACTTTTAGTGCTTCTGATTTTCTATGTATTAGTCGGCTATGTCCTTATAATATTTTATTGGAGTCATATATATCATGCGTTAGTTGTTGTTGACCCACAGGTTATTTTTCTTATTCGCTGTATTACAATTTTCTATTCTTTCTTAGCCGCTTTTTTTCAGTCGTGAGCAGCACTTATATTATACACCTCCAGGCCAATTTTGGTGCTCCCAGAAAAAGGAAATAGGCGTAGACTTTGTACTTTGGGTATTTTGTGTTTTTGTGTTATCTTAATCGCAGGTTGTCTGTTTGACGATGATGAGCTGAGCTTACAAAAGAAGAACATGGGAGCTCACTCTGTTTTTCTCATCCTTTTTGGCGTCATTGCCACCGCCATTGTAGTTCATGGCCAAGGCCAAGCAGGTTCGTGAGTCTTATTCTCGCTTATTTGCGTCTGTTTTGATTTGAAAATGAGTATTTATCAGACCACAGATTTTTGAAATTTTGATATATATTTGTCGATACTACAAAATGAAAGATTCATTAGATCCTGGTGTTGCATGTTTTCCAGAACTCATTTTTATTATAGGTTTGACATGATAAATGGAGTCCATGTCTGGTAGATTTGGAAGCCATACGTTCTAACATTTGAAAAGTTTGGTAGATTTTAGACCTGTCTTAGAATTTGGATAAGAACTTTCTCAAACGTTATTAGAACTATCTACATTCTATAACCTCTTCATCTGATCCAGGTTTCATCAGCATAGATTGTGGATCACCCCCTAATATAAACTATGTTGACACTGATACTGGTATTAGTTACACCTGGGATGCACCTTACATAAATGCTGGAGTAAATGTGAACGTCTCTGAAGAATACGGCTATCCGAAAAACCCGGTTTTGCCATTCCCACTTGCTGATGTCAGATCTTTTCCCCAAGGTGACAGAAACTGTTACACCTTAACTCCCTCCGATGGAAAAGGGAACCTTTATCTCATCAGAGCTTCGTTTATGTATGGAAACTACGACGGTAAAGAAGCTTTGCCTGAGTTTGATCTCTATGTAAACGTGAATTTCTGGAGCTCAGTGAAATTCAGAAATGCTTCTGAGAATGTCATCAAGGAGATCCTCAGCTTTGCAAAGTCAGATACAATATATGTTTGCCTCGTGAACAAAGGTAAAGGAACACCTTTTATTTCAGCCTTGGAGCTCCGGCCAATGAATAGCTCAATCTATGGTACTGAGTTTGGAAGAAATGTCTCACTGGTACTCTATAAAAGATGGGATACTGGATATCTGAATGGAACAGGACGGTACCAAAAGGATACATATGATCGTATTTGGTCTCCGTACTCTCCAGTCTCTTGGAATTCAACCATGACTACTGGGTATATTGATATTTTTCAGTCTGGTTATCGGCCACCAGATGAAGTTATTAAGACAGCTGCTTCGCCTAAAAGTGATGATGAGCCATTGGAACTGTCTTGGACATCAAGCGATCCAGATACTCGGTTCTATGCATACCTTTATTTTGCTGAACTTGAAATCCTCAAGAGGAACGAGAGCAGAAAAATCAAGATATTCTGGAATGGGTCGCCTGTTTCAGGAGCTTTCAATCCTTCTTCTGAGTACTCAATGACAGTGTCTAATTCACGAGCTTTCACTGGTAAAGATCACTGGATCTCTGTTCAGAAGACCGCAGATTCAACGCGTCCACCAATACTCAATGCTATTGAGATTTTTACAGCACAATCTCTGGATGAATTTTCCACCACAACTGAAGACGGTATGTTCATCTCTACTTTATTAGTCGACTACCTATATTTGATAAAATCTGAACCTTGATTTTCACTGAGGCTCACAGTTTTCCATTTTCTCTTGGTAATGCAGTTCACGCCATAGAAAGTATAAAATCAACGTATAAAGTGAATAAGGTTTGGAGTGGTGATCCTTGCTCCCCAAGACTATTCCCTTGGGAAGGTATTGGATGCAGCTACAACAATTCTAATTACCAAATCAAGTCCCTGTAAGTTATTCCTTCCGGCCATACAGAACTGCATTTTTCTACTTCCTTGAAGATTGCTGATGAGCTTGTTTTTGTGTTATGCTGCGAGAAGAAATCTTAGCTCAAGCGGGTTACAAGGATCGATAGCCTTTACATTTAGAAATCTCTCCCTTCTTGAGTCATTGTAAGTATACCAAACCATAAATACACACTATTCACCATTTTATCACATTAACTATAAGAGATTTGTGCATTGTTGTCCCAGGGATTTATCAAACAACAACTTAAGAGGAAACGTGCCAGAGTTTTTGGCTGATCTAAAATATTTGAAGTTCCTGTGAGTTACGCACATAGAGACTTTGTTTGAGTCTATATTGACAGACAATCGATAATGATTTTGTCTCTGACATTTATTTCTGTCGCAGGAATTTGAAAGGAAATAACTTCACTGGTTTTATACCGAGAGCTCTCAGAAAACAATCAACGACAAATGGACTTGCACTCAGGTACATTTTCTTGTCAAACCCCTGGAACCATAGTCATCTTGATAAGATAATCTTATAATTTTCTGAAGCTTGTTAATTTCCTCTGTGTTTCCAGTGTGGATGAACAAAACATTTGTCGCTCCCGTTCATGTCGGGATGGGAACAGAATCGTTGTGCCATTAGTTGTATCCTCATTAGTGATTATTCTCATTGTCGCCTTGGCTATCATATTCATCATGAGAAGGGAAAGAAAAATAAGTAAGCAGCTTTGTCTTTTACTTCGATTCAAGTTTAATAAGAATCAGAATTAATGCTGAAAGAAAAGGAGTGTTTAATTTGTTTAGTGTATTCAGGAGTCTATTCAGGACCACTTCTGCCTTCGGGGAAAAGAAGGTTCACATATAGTGAAGTCTCTAGCATTACAAATAACTTCAATAAGGTGATCGGTAAAGGAGGGTTTGGTATAGTGTACCTCGGTTCCCTCGAAGATGGGTCTGAAATTGCTGTAAAGATGATCAATGATTCTTCATTTGGAAAAACTAAAGGTTCATCATCATCATCATCTTCCCAAGTTTCCAAAGAATTCCAAGTCGAGGTAATCTAAACAACATTAAAAACATGATCAAATATTTTAAACAATGTTGTTTTATGGTTGCTTAAGTGTAAATTGTTTGCAGGCGGAGCTTCTTTTGACAGTCCATCACAGGAACTTAGCCTCGTTTGTTGGATACTGTGATGACGGTCGTAGTATGGCTCTCATCTATGAGTACATGGCCAATGGAAACTTGCAGGATTATCTTTCAAGTGAGAATGCAGAGGACCTTAGCTGGGAAAAGAGACTCCATATAGCCATAGACTCTGCACAAGGTTGGTCCTCATATTGACTTCCTTGAACCAAGTTATCAAATCCGATTTAGTAGTGTTCCGTTCTGAAACCCGATTTTAATTAATTTTTCTCGGCAGGATTGGAGTATCTGCATCATGGATGCAGACCACCAATAGTACACAGAGACGTTAAAACAGCAAACATTCTATTAAGCGATAACTTGGAAGCCAAGATTGCTGATTTTGGCCTTTCTAAGGTCTTCCCTGAGGATGATCTCAGCCACGTCGTAACTGCAGTCATGGGTACACCCGGCTACGTTGATCCTGAGTACGTTTGCTACACATCACTGGATTAATGTTACCAATGTGAACAGGCTCGTCTCATAATTAACCTGTTTCAATTGACAGGTATTACAACACGTTTAAGCTAAACGAGAAGAGCGACGTGTACAGCTTCGGGATCGTCCTCCTAGAACTCATAACCGGCCAGCGATCCATAATGAAAACCGAGGACGGAGACAAAATGAACGTTGTCCACTACGTTGAACCTTTCCTCGAAACCGGAGACATAGACGGCGTCATGGATCCACGGCTTCGTGGGGACTTCTGCTCAAACTCGGCCTGGAAATTTGTAGAGGTGGCAATGTCATGCGTCAGAGACAGAGGAACCAACAGACCAACAACTAACCAAATCGTGTCTGATCTGAAACAGTGCTTAGCAGCTGAGCTGGCTCGTGAGCCACAGAGCCATCACAAGAAGGAAGTAGTGAAAGAGAAGCAAACGAGGTCGCCGATTCGAAGTTATAGCAGCAACGAATATAATAGCACTTCCGGATCGGTTTCGCTTACTCATGGAGATTACTCCACGTTTGGCCCCATGGCAAGGTAGTGAGAAAATAAATCAAAGGTTTGATTCTTCATTTATGCTCATCTTATTTTTGTGTTTATTTTCAAGATTATCATATGATTCATTTTGATTTTAAAGATTCATTTGTTTTTGTTTTCTTTTAAGAAAATTTGTTACGGCTAAAAACATTCAATTGTAAGAAAAAGAACTTGTACATGTTTGTTTGTCTTTCACTTTACCAATCAAGCAGAAAAAAATGCATATAAAGGCGAAAACTGAGTTTCGAGTCACACTTTCATTAGTAAGAGTTTTATTTCAATTCTATGATTTTTGTATATTATAAGATATCTGACATGTGTAATATAACCGCATTTAAACACAGAGTTAATTTCATATTTCAGGAAAATGTTATGGTAATCGAACTAGTCAAAGCCTAAGATTAACACCTGTGCATAAGTTTAGGCTAAGAATAATTGATTAAAATAGTAACTGGAAGTAAAATTTGTCTTAATTAATAGGTACATAATTAGGTTTCTTCTTTTTGACCTTACGCTCGAGTTTGTGGGCTAATCACCCTACACAAATCTATTAATTCGCTAATTACAGATTTGGCCGTTTCCCAATATTAAAACCATCTGTATGTACATTCTCATTCATATATAATGCATTTAATATATACATTTATGTTTCTTCAAAAATGGTAAATTGTAATACCTAACATTGGACCCATATGTCGTCTATTTCAGTCATTAGTAAAATAGGAAACAAAATCATATTTTCATTGCAAGTTAGATGGTAAGTTGGCAAAAAGAATTAAAACAGTATATTTACGATTTGGATTTTGCCTTAGCTCTCCCAAATGTCCTTATGAGGAACTAGTATGTAAATGTCAAGTACCAAATTTTCTAAGAAAGATATTAGTATTTGACAAAGTAAAATAACAAAATCCTTAACTCGATTTACACGCTTACTCGTTTTTCCTAAACACAATGACAAGGTTACTAAATGGCATGACATAAAACATTGACAGCCTCGTACATCTCTATTTCAAAACTCGATTTCTTCTCATCAAAACCTGTCTCTGATTTTGTCAAGATCAGGTTTATGTTTAAAGGGTCTCTAGACTATTCTTCGTGATTGCGGTTATCTCGTATTGGTTAATGTCATTTTCTTATCCATGCTACTGCCAAATCGTATTGGATATTGTCATACTGTATAATAAAATGATAAGCCTTTTGATATCATTGAACAAGTCTTTTATTGGTTTAATTTCTTCTTTTTTACTTTGCTAAGTCATTACTTTAACTCATTAGGTATTTGACCCATTCAAGCATTTTACAATGCCGTAATTACAACAATCTTTCCACGTTAAATCATTTAAACTTCCCACTAACAACAAAACACACACACACACAAAATTAATGGTATTGGTCTATTGGATCAAGAAAAGCTAGGGAAACACAAAAAAAACATTAGAAAAGTAAAATAATTTGCATTCATACATTGATTAGTACCAAGTGGTTTACATTTAACATAATATAAAACACGATAATAATAACCATAGTAATACTATATATTAATAATGTTCCGAAATTTCAAAATATAAAAACCCCTAGGCATATCTATATACAACGATTTTATCAGAAAAATCAGGCCCCAAAAATCCGTAGTTAATTATTATTCGCAGATAATACGACATTAGTAAAATAAAAATAATATGAACACACTAAGAAGATCTCTTCCTCTTTTCCTCGGAAGATATCCCAAAAAAACCGATACTGAAACTTCATCTTCGGATACGGGTCGGACTGTTTCTCTCTGTCTACATGAGCAGGTCAGATACCCACCCGACATCAGGACCATCACCCATGCTCTGTTCCAGACCCGGATCAACTCGATCCATGCAATTCTCCTTGTGTAGTTTCTCGCGCATCTTTTCTCGCAGCTCACGACCCGACTCGACGACCCGCTCCATTACGGGTTCTTCCTCTAACCCATGCTCCCATATATCCAGATTCCCGGGTCGGGTCGGTGTTGTGGGGAGACTCTGAAACCCAGGACCCAAGATAGATCCACGGGGCGACCCGAATCCGAATAAAAGATTGTTATGAGGAAACGACTTCACTTTGCTGAACTGTAAGCTCCTAAACGAAGGGACGACGTCGTTTATGGAACAGGACCCGAGTGAGCGACTAAGTGACTGAGCCATCGGAGAAGACTCCGAGTCAGCTCTTGGACTCATCGGCGGCGAACCAGAGACAGGAGAAATCGAGAGCTGAAACGCTCTAGCACGAATCGGAGAGGAAACGTCAAACGAATCAACCCGATCGGGGCTCCGGTTAGACAAAAACCTAAGCTGATCCGGCGAATGAGCAAAGAAACAAACTCTCCGGCGACAGCTACCACCGTCTTTACACGGCTGAGTACGGTAACGAGCAGGATGAAGCCAACACTCGAAAACACCATGAGCGAACTCACAAGAGTCGCCTTTTGAGCAACCGCCTTTACGGAAGTCAGGACAAGCCGTGCCGGAGTAATGGTACTTCCTCGGATCTCTACGGCGGGCTTTCTCACCGGGATGAGCGTAAGGACACTCCGTCCAGTCATGGCTCCGGCCACGAGCACACCTCCGGACTTTGAAATCGTACATACGGAAATGGTCGCATGAATAAGCATCGATCGGCGAATCAGGACCCAGCAGATCCGGGTCAGAATCCGGATCCATTTCGTTAGACGGCAGATAACGCTGCAACGCCGCCAAAGCTTCAAGCATGCTACAATCCGGACTATTCATCGCCGGAGAGAACAAATCCGCCGACGTAAAATCTTCACAAGACGGCCACGGAGGTATTTCAACAGTAGGATAAGCACGGCGAGTTTCTCCGATCATCATCTTCTCTTAAACTCCAACGAATAGAAAACACATTCGGAGTTTTTGTTTTTGGTTTTGTTGTTTGCTAATTCGCCGGCAAAGCTTTCTTATGTAGTTGAAATATTTAACTATGGTTAGGTTAAATTAAATTTTTAAACCATGGTTAACACTATTAGGCATAGGACTAGGAGCAGCTTTTTCTACCGCTGTTAAAAAATAAAAATCTAGGTTATCGTAACGGGACTGTGAGATAAACGTGTATAACAGCGGCTTGTGACTTATCCACGGGATAGACGTACGTGGACGTTTTCGTGATGTGGACGTTTATCAAATGACTTTAAAGTAACCGAACTGTGAGCGTAAGGTTTACTTTAGGATTATTAGATACGCTGAACTCGGTCGAAGTTTAGAGATACGCTGAAGAAGAAAACGACAAATTACATAATCCAAACACCTTTTAGTTAATAATCGTAATACTTATCCATAAAAGTAAAATAATAATCTCAAAAAGGTTAGTTTTTATTTTGATCTTAGTAAATAAGTCGTCGTAATTTGTATCACTTATATAGCAACAAAATCTTTGGAGATAATGCATTTTAATTAAAATGGTAGTATTATCACGATCAAGAAAGAAAAAAAATATCTAACTTAATAATCGAAAATTCGAGTACCAAATTTTTGGATAGGATAAGAGATGTGTCGGATGAAGAAGACATGTTGGAACAAATTTGGAATAACGTTTAAAGACATTAAAGGGAGCAAAAACCATTTATGTTTACTTTGCTAAATTTGGAAGCAATTCCATATCCCCCCCCCCCCCATACAAATCCAACTCTCTTATTTTTTCATTTTTTTTGTTCTTTTTAGCTATTATTTTCTTTTATCATAAATTTTATATATACTGTATGTTCAATTTTACAATAGTGATTAGAGAGAAAACATAAAAAGATAGAAAACCAAAATCTACGAACAGAAAAGAAAATATATGCATCAAGTAAAGTATCAGCAAAACTACCAGTAAAAAACACCAATATCAAATGTTTAAAAAATGTTTATCAAACTTACGTTTCAATTAAGAAAAATTGGATATAGTCAATGAGAATGGTGACATTAACATGATGAAAGAATATATAATACTACAAATTGTAGTTGTTTTTTCTTTTAGTTTACAGTTTGAGAATTGTAGACTATACATGTGTTCCAATAAACTGAATTTTTTAAGTCCAAACCCTTCAACCAAATTTTTTTTCCCCCTTATAACATATTTTATATTAGTATTAAAAATGGTTATGAGGACCAGAAATATATATAAATCAAGAATAAGAATATTTCCTAGATCTAAACGAAGAAGACAGGTTGCAAATATCTAAAAAAACGTGTAGCTCATCCGATTCAAGAGAGCAATTATTTTATCTATCTTTTTAATTTGGAAGATAGTGAAGATTTTACACACAAGACACGATGCCTTCGTTTTCATTAGTCACTGAACCTATGAGACCCATCGTCTACGTACGGACCAAAAAATATCTTTATTGTCGCAGCTCTTACGGTCGAGGCTGATGAAAATTGTATTGTGTAATAATTTTGATTGGAATTGATTTTTATATATATTAGATTAGTATAGACAGAACATATGTATGTATGTAACACTCATTAATGCTTCTTTTAAAACATTAGTTTCTCTCATCAACTTGCACAATTGCGATCCAATTGAAATGCGGACTTCAAAAAAACTTATGTATAGTTTAGAGTTTACTTCACTTTTTATTTCTACTCGCTGGCTTAGATATTTATTTATTCGACATTTACGTTTGGCAGCCTTACCTTTATTTGTCTAATACTAGCTAGTAGTTTTATGAGATATTTTGCCCATAGAATAGAAAAATACATAGACAAATTAATATATATATATATATATATACGTATTTCTTGTATTAGTAATCGAAATAATTATTTTCATATATATATATATATAGTTATAAATCAACAAAAGTAATTTGAATCATTTAACATGTAAATATTCATACAATAAATTTTTATATTGCATTTTCTAGACTAAACTCGAACTTTATTTTTGTGTAAATGAGAAATAATACATGGTCTACTGTTAAACTACTTTTAGAGATAGATATTACAAATTGGCATTAGGTTCTTTAATCTTCATTAAATGTAGTAAGAAGTTCGTGTATAACAACTGCAATACTCTCTGATCAAATTAAAAAAAAAAAACTGTAACCACAAGGATCGAAGAAAGTAGGTGCGCTATAGTTGTTTAGTTAGGCTAGCTAAGTAAAAAAAATATTGAGCTAATGTCACTTTGATATTAAAATAAGGGATCAGGCATGCATGGGGAGGCAACTACATCGCGACACATGTTGACTGGTGTGGTTACAATTATTTATTATCGGTTTCCGTATGTAACATTTAATACAATTATACTACAAAATTGCTAATTGTCGTAGCTAAAACAGGAGTTACAATTTGAGTGTAGGAAACTAGGAGTTATATCTAATTAGATGGAAAAGAAACCATGTGACCCCCAAATTCCACAATTTGTAATCTCTCTCAGCCACAAGTTTTAAGATGTCAATATAATTTAGTACTTTCACTTTTCTTCTTTTTCTTTGTGATGTTATCAAACATCTTTGTCTCCCATTTGTGCATATAGTATAATAAATTTTCCTGTATAGAACTTCCCTTTCGAGCATCTCAACCAAACAACACAACAGTATATATTCCCAATTTGATTGCAATATCACTAGTAAGTATCAACAATGCATGCACATGGTTGTACTTTCATTGCCCCTTTTATTGATCTATATATTTTCTTTCATTGCCCCCTTATATGTTGTGATTAGGCTAGGGTCGTACCTATAAATTAACTAATAAACAATCTTAATAAAATGAACTTAACAAAATTAACAACTCCAAAACAAGATTACAAGAATATATGTATATATAGTCTTATCATATTCTTGTTTACTGAGAAGTGTTATGCATGAGAATCTCCAAATTTTTTTGTTTTATTGGAATTAATTGAAGGATTTTGTTACAGCGTACGATTTACAATTGAGCATGGTGTGTTGCTGCCTTCATATCCCAAATCAGATCATTTGCTTCGTTACGATCAAAGCGATTATATTAGGAAACAAATTGTGTAAACCATTTTATAACGTCTGAAGACAGGACGCCAATTATATGTCTTCTGGGCGAAAGGAGCTTGTGCATGTGATAGGACGTAAAGAATGTATATACGTACACGCGTCGATACCACACATGATAACAATGCCACCTCTTAAGGAAGCATGAGGGATCATGCATGCATGCTCCCATCCATCTCCACCGTTCATTACGCTTCAAATTTAATACTTTCTTTTGTTTATATATATGATTCCACCAAACATATAATATATAACTATTTTTCTTTATAAAATGTATATATATATATCGATCCCACGATCATGACAACTACGTGATCCCCTTTATTCCCCTCCCTTAATTACTCAACTTTGATTTAGATAGAGAGTCACCAATATTTCTTCTCTTGGTCTTATCCACAATATTTCTACCCATATTTCTTATAAATTTTGTGACTTTTATAAAGCAATAGTTTTTCTCACCCGCTGTTTAACGTGGACGTGAAAACTGAACCTAGTAATTTCTTAAAACATTATTCACTTATATATTATATAATGTAACCACGTAAAAATGTAAGAAGAATATTGCATGTGATTTTAACAGAAAACTTCATTCCAAAAATATCGGTTTATTTTTTTACATGCGTAGAGGTATGAATAATATCATATAGTAGTGCCAATCGAATCCGAATATATTTGGTAATAAAGTCTTCAATTAGCAAAATTACTTTATCTGGTTATAGAGAATATAATTAAACTAAGTTGTCAGATTCTCTAATTACCTAATAGGGGATGAAAATCAAAAATTCACATGACCTGCCTCAAAGGTCACGTGACACCGATCACCTAGCGACTACGTGTCGTGATCTTGCAGCACGTGTCTTTTTTTTACGGTAAACACAGTGGTACCAAAAATTTTCACTTTCCACGTCCCGACAAAAAACAAAAAATATTTACGGGGAAAATAGTTGTAAGAAGAATGAATATATTCACGAAATTGTACGGACAATTGTTACGTGGCAGAGTCTTTATGGGTGTCTTTGACCACCAAGTTGACGTGTCCTTTGCTCAGTGACATCACATACTCGTTTAGTATCTTTCCACGTGGCAGCGTCGACGTGACCCCAACAATGGTGGTGGCATGGTCTCATGGTTATGGTGGTGATCTGGTGGATATGTGATTAAGTGATTTGATCTGTCGACTAAACAAAAGAATATATTTGACTTGTTTCAGTTTTTACCATGTTTGATTTTTTTTTTCTTTCTTTTTGTGTGTGTGCAAATGATATTAGTTTGATAGTTTCAACTTTCAACATAAATTTTGTTAACTATTTAATACTTTTGGCTACTACTATACTACATTTTAGTTTAATTGCCTATACAAAATAATTTAATTTAAAGAAAGAAGAGAGCATGGAGCCAAATCATCATGTCCCTTCCATTTCACTTCAATTGATAATACCTAATAGTCTGAATAGGAAATGAAAACATAATTAATGGTATCCATCCATAATAATATACCATCATAAATTCTATTATCACATCACACACTATTTACTAATGAGTGAAGCGGTGAATATTCTAACATTATATAATTTGTTTTTGTCGGTAAAATGAATTGAATGACATTTTCCAAGAAAACTTCTCAAATCATTTGTTTTTTTCTTCCTACAAGTGTTTACGTCATTTCATCTTTTGATCCTAACTAGTCGAAAACGAATATTTGCTTGGAAACCTTGTAAATGTTTCGACATAAAATTGGACGGTGAAGCTCTTTTGAAAGTTTTGTTTTTCTTTTCATTTAAAAGTTTTGTCGTCAAAAAAAAATAAATGATTTGACAAAGTGAATTAGTGGGATTTGGAGATGTGTAACATCGTGCAAAAGAACAGAAAAATAATAGAAAAAAACGTATTACATACATACTAGTAATAATGAAAACTAATCAAATATCTCTGATGATCAGGAAAACGTAATGAATGGGACATAGCCAAAATAATTGGGCACTGCAGAGAGAGAGTAAACAGTAAAGGCGTAGAGATTTGGATCTGATTACTATTATTCTTCGATATTATTCAACCATTAACAAATTCATCTAAGTTCTTAAATGATCTGATTCTCACTGTTTATGGTTTTCTTTGCTCTACTGCCTTTAACTTTCTTTTTTTCGTTGTTCTAAAGGACATGACATCGTGGATAATTTATCCCTCAGGCCCATTAAAAAAACCCATTTTTAAAACAACAACGAGTAGAAGAATCTTAAAGTTTTCGGTCCATTAAGAGCCTAGTAAAGTTGTATTACTCATTTATAAAACACGCAAGTGTAGACGTCCCTACCAATAAGAATTTTGCTTTGTCGTATTACAAAAAGAGGTCACGAGATGGGAGACGTGAATGGTCGATCTCTGGTGAAGTTTCTTTTTCAATCTTTTGTGTACGTAAGCAAACTCACTATCTTCGTCGCTATCCCCATGAAAGCTTTTGTTTTGGACTTATGTTATGTATCTATGCACATAATTAGTTTGGGACAAAAATGGCAATAAAGACACAAAAGTACTGAGAAGACGAGTGAGTGAATTATGAAGTATATATATATTCATCTTTGAAATATTCATTTGACTCACTTGAGCTTTGTATATATGGTTGGTTCGTTGATTCGTTCGAGTAGACACTGATGAAAAAGTCTTTTTTCCGCACTTCTTTTTTACAAGTCTTTTTAAAACAATTTTTCTTGTACGCAATGTAATACAATTGGATTACAAAATAAGTGAATTTAATATATTGAAATTTGTATATTTAATACAGATTAATCAACCAAAAAAAAAGGAAGTGGATAAGAGAAGAAACTGTGATGTAGTTAGAAGAAGATAACTTGCAAAACTTATCAAATTTTTTTAAAAATAAAAATATCTGTTATTTTCTAAAGTCTAAGTGAGCGGGTTAATAACTTAATATACACTACAAAATTAAAGAAGAATGAAAGATTATTCATGAACAAGAAAATATTATACCAACGACTTGTTTTCTTATTTAATTATTGAATGTATTTTAATAATATTTTTTGCTAATCACACTACAAATTAAATAAATTTGACTTGTCTTTTAATAAGGATTTAAATCTGGATGATATCATGTAACGAGTATACATAAATTTTGTCGTTATCGCGTGTAACCAATGATAATGTTTAAAAATATTAAGTTATAAACTAATCAGACTTGCTCCAATCACAAACTTAGTAAACTATATCATATTATCTCTTCTTTTTTTTCAAGTCTATAAAACAAATAGACCAGCTTGGAATCCACTCTACTCTCTCTCTTCTTCTTCTCTTTTTCTGTACCGCCCAAAACCAAAAATTATATGTTATTTTGACACTCTTTCTCTCCTAGATCGACAGAGAAAAGAGATAGAGATCGAAGATGAGTCGAGAAACCATCGCCGTTCTTCTTTTGGGAGGAGAGAAGCAGAAGAAGAGACAGAGCAGACTCCTAAAGGTTGCTCTTTTACTGGTTCTGGTTCTCGTCGGAATTTCAGGTTTGTTTCTGTCTTTATAATTACTTCCACTACTCTGACGAACAATTATACTATGTTCTCATATGACCCTATTAATCTAATGATTTTTTACTACTCGACTAGTTCTCTGATTGTTATGTGTTTTGAACATTTTCATAGGTTTTAGCTTTAGTGACAACAACATTAGGATTTTGTTGTCAAGACAAGCGATTGATGATCATAGGCTTAGTCATGAAACCGTTAGTGACGTGGTTGAATCGGAGAATGGTATTGTGGCCGCTGACGACGGTCGTTGCTCTGAGATTGGTGCCTCTGTTCTTAGAAGAGGTGGCCACGCCGTTGACGCAGCCGTTGCTACTAGTTTATGTGTGGGTGTTGTTAATCCCATGTCGAGTGGAATTGGTGGTGGAGCTTTCTTGATCGTTAGCTCGCAGATAGATTCCAAGGCTGAGGCTTTTGACATGAGAGAAACTGCTCCTTTAGCTGCTTCTAAGGTTTAACGTTTTGTTCACAAATCCTTCTTGATTTACCTATATAAGTAGATAGATAATGTGTTAAGCTTGTGAACTGATTCAGGATATGTATAAGAACGATTTGAGTGCGAAGTCCGTTGGCGCTTTATCTATGGGAGTTCCAGGAGAGATAGCTGGACTTTACGAGGCTTGGAAACGGTATGGCCGTCTCCCCTGGAAACCCCTTTTCGAGCCGGCTATCGAGTTGGCCAGAGGCGGTTTCGTGGTGCGTCCATATCTAGGACGGGCTATAGCGAGCCAAGCTTCTAACATACTTAAAGATCCGGGTTTGCGGAGTGTCTACTCAAGAAATGGACAGGTTTTGAAACCCGGTGATACTTGCTATAACCCGGAACTAGCTTGGAGTCTTGAGACTATTTCCGAGCAAGGACCGGGAGCGTTTTACAACGGGATAGTAGGCGAGAAGCTTGTTAACGATGTGCAAAAGGCTGGTGGGATCATAACAATGGATGATCTAAGAAGTTATAAAGTCCGAGTTACTGATGCAATGTCTGTTGATGTCATTGGTTATACGGTTCATGGAATGCCGCCTCCTTCAGGCGGTACAGTCGGTTTTTCGATGGTTATGAATATCCTGGATAGTTACTCGAGCCTTTACACTGCTTCAGGAAGAGATCTTGGGCTGCACCGATTGATAGAAGCAACAAAACATATGTTTGCAGCTCGGATGGATCTTGGAGACCCTGACTTCGTTAACATAACAAACGCTATGAACCAAATGCTCTCCAAGACTCACGCGGAAGAAATCCGAAAGAGGATTTTCGACAACACAACATTCCCACCCGAGTACTATTTGAACAGGTGGAGCCAACTCAGGGACCAGGGGACGAGTCATTTCAGCATTGTGGATGCAGACCGAAACACCGTGTCAATGACCACAACCGTAAATTACTCTTTCGGTGCCAAGGTTTTATCACCTGCCACAGGAATTGTACTTAACAACGAGATGGATGATTTCTCGGTACCTTCAGAAATCACTTCTGACATGCTTCCTCCTGCACCTACAAATTTCATTGAACCAAACAAAAGACCTTTATCTTCCATGACTCCTCTCGTAGTCACCAAGGTTTACCATCAATATTTATTTACCTTTCCTGTTTTATAACTCATACAACGAGATCTTACTACGGTCCATGAAAACCTGCAACTGCTTTTTATCGCAGGATGGTGAGTTGGTGGCGGCGCTTGGAGGAGCTGGCGGAATGAATATAATTCCGGCGGTGCTCCAAGTGTTCCTTAATTGCTTTGTGTTGAATATGAAACCATTAGAAGCGGTAGAGACTGCAAGAGTTTACCATAGGGTATGCATATTTCAGAACCATCTGATTGTTACTAACATTCACAATAAAATACATACTCACGGCTTTTTGGTTGTTGTTGTTGCAGTTGATACCGAATGTAGTTCAATTTGAGAACTTCACGGCGATCAATGGCGATTACATAGGGCTTACAGAAGATACAAAGATGTTTTTAGCAGAGAGGGGACATGAAGTCAATGCAGTCTCAGGTAAAGCTATTGTTCAACTTATTGTTCAAAGTTTCAAGGAAGACGAAGAAGAAATGTTTATTGAAATTGGAAGGAAGATTGGAAAGAAATCGAAACAAGTCAAGGGCTTACTCACTGCAGTTAGTGATCCTCGAAAAGATGGGAAACCAGCTGCAGTTTGATTCAATTGTAATATCAGTCATTAAGTTTGCAGAACTAAGGTTTCCTCATTTCCTATCATGTAAAGTTGATTAAAGATGTATAAAATTCAAAACAATTTGGTGGGAAAAATCTAGGCGGTATCATTACCATATTGATCACAAGTGTATAGATAGGTTGATTACAGATTGTAAATTACAAGTTTGGTGAAGCGTGTAAAATCAAAACTAAGAGTTATTACATTATTATTCTCACAAGGAGTTATATATCTCTCTCTTTTCTTTGCTTGAAGAATATTATAAAACATCTTGAAAAGCTTCGATCAAATAAAGAAACCTTACTTCCCAAACAAATATCTCCTCTCAAGTGGAACACAAATAAATGTTTTTGCAGATAATGTTGTTTACCATTCCATGGTGCCTGCTTCACCAGCCTTCTGGTTTGACTCACTCCTGTCTTGCCTCATAAAACTTGGCTGATTCGTTGAAGACAAAAGCCTCGCCCACATTCTGTCTGTGATCACCACCTTGTTCTGTTTCTCAGTGATCCTCTGCACGATATGCAAACCATGTTATAACATCGATAAATGTAAGAGATACTGAGGTTGATTCACAATGGGTACTTCAGCCAACAACAGGCTTAAAAACAAAAACTTTTGATTCTTTGAGACTCACATAGAAGGGAATGTAAGTATGTCTGCCATTGACAAGGCCAACGGTGAAGCCATTGTAACCAGCCATCACTCCATGGACCGCACTTTGAGCTAACAGCGTACAGCATACATTGTCTGATGCATTGCTCGGAACAGCCCGTATCATGTATGTTGGATCTGAAAGGAAAACATATCTTTATCTATCATTTTTCAGCAGACATGCACAAAAGAAAACTCATAAGATATCTATATACCTATGTATTTGAGGTTAAGAGTCATCTTCTTGGCAAAATGATCCTGCATAAGAAGAGATATAAGAAAGCAAATCAATTTCTTGGTCTTTTATCAAGAAAATCCTCTGTTTTACAAAAAAACCAATACGTTAACCTTGATCCGTTGAGAGATCCATAGGCCAACGTCTTGCAGAAGTTTGTTTCCAGAGGCATCTTTGAGAGTTTTGGACTCTTCTATGCTTTCAGACAACAAATCTTGTCCCGCACCCTCTGCAATTACAATCACCATGTGACCACTCTCTTTTAGCCGTTTATCAATAAATTCAAAAAGCCCGCCTGGGCCTTCAAGAAAAAATGGAGATTCCGGGATCAAGCAACAGTCCACATCTCGGCTTGCTAGAGTTGCATACATTGCAATGAATCCTGCAAAAACCCTTGAAAATCTGTAAACATCTCTTCACTGCTCAACTTAACTTGGGTGAAAACTATCTAGTGTAGGGAAACTGCTTACCGCTGTACCGTCCCATTAACTTCACAAGACCAATGCCATTCTCAAAACTTGTAGCTTCGACATGGGCTGCATTGATAGCACGTTGAGCCTCTTCTACAGCTGTGTCAAACCCGAATGATCTATCGATAATCTGTATTAAGAAAGAGTAAACATTCATTATATTATACAACCATAAGAAACTACCATACAATATTTAAAATTTCAAACCATTGGGGAAAAAATATTTACAGGAATATCATTGTCAATTGTTTTGGGGATTCCAGCAACCGCAACTTTAAGCCCGCGTCTCCTAATTTCCTGCAGAGACAGTCATTAGATATATATCAACCAACTGTATTGATCAGAAGAAGTTTTGCTTACCTCAAATATAGCAGCTGCTCCTTTCTGTGATCCATCTCCACCGATTATATAAACCTGGTAAAATTGCAAACCAGACAAGCATGTTTGCATCATTTCAATGTAATTCTGCAGATTCATTGTTGAGTTAAGTAAACTACAAACCTGGTTGATTCCACGATCTTGAATACTATCTACTATCTTGGTGGTGTTGTGACCGCCTCTTGAAGTCCCAAGGATGGTTCCTCCGCTTCTATGGATATCATTCACTGTTTTTATATCTAAATGGATTGTGTTTCTCGCGTAAAATCCTCTGTAACCTCCCTGAAAACCACAATTGATCTCAAGATTTATATACTGAATAAGAAAATTGAGAGCATTGCTGTAGTGATAACTAAACCGATGGGACTTACATCAATTCCAAGGATTCTCTTGACACCATACATGTAAGATAATCCACAAACTATCTCTCTGATCACAGTATTAAGCCCTGGACACAGACCACCACAAGTAACAATGCAAGCAAGAACATCATCCGACTCAAAGTAAACCTGCGTAAACATAATATTCCATCAACGTTCACCTACTTAAGCATACATACACTCTTCAGGTTATCATAGACATAAATATACCCTTTGACGTGGTCCAGCTCGGCGGAAATGTGTTCCCCTAGGACTATCAGGATGAACAACTATCTGCAAAGGTGCGAAACCCGAATCTTCATTAATGAGATACAGTATAATCAAAATGGTAATGGCTATAGTAGAGACTATTTTTACTAACTTTTTGAGGAACCGTGTCATCCTCATCGACGAAGTACTGCCTGAAAACACATTGGATTTTAATCAATTAAGAAGCTTAACACATTCTGAATTCGAATAAGATGATGATTCAATCAACAATTATAGAAACTTAAGTTCCCTGAGGTAGTAGTAAGCAAGCAAACAAAACGGTAACTTACTTAACAACTGAGTAAGCAGCGTTGTCTTGTAACGGATTTGGATATGTCTGCAGCATCACATGGCAAGACACAAATAACCGATCAGAGAAGAAATCACTACAACTTGAAATAACAAAGGAAACATTAAAAAGCTATTTAAAAATGGTAACTTTAAAAGCATAATCATGTAAAAGTTTCAGACTTTTTTCTCTTTTCCCGCTTCGCATTATACAGAACACACATATAAGGATAGAAAATAGAAAAAGCCAGAAACGTACAGGAGCATTTGGGAAGTCATCGGTGAAATGAGGAACGTCTTCAAGAATATAACCGGCGGGACCAGTGACGATCTTCCGGTTCTCCGAGTTTGGGACAGAAGATGACATAACCAACCTTCTTGTCGGAGACTCAATCCTCTGATTGTCAGAAAGCGAAACAATCAAACGGAGACCCGAATCGAAGCTCAATGAACGATATTTCCTACTGATTGTAGGGATTAGCAACCCAAATTGATGATGATCGGTTTCAGAAGCCGTACTAGTACCACCTGAATATGATCGGAATCTAAAAGAATCCATACAATGATGGAAGATCGGAGAAAACGTTGTTATCACCCATTGTTTTTTATTTAGAAGAGAAGAAACCCAAAAATGGAACAGAGTGTTTGACTTCAGTTTTCTAATTTTTTATTTTCACAAAAACAATAAAAATGCAAACTTTAGAAAAATTAAAAAAAGCATTCACCTTTGAAGAAATTGAAAACAAGAACTGTGGAAGGAGGAAGGCAGATCAGGCCATCACGGGGTTGTGGTGAATGTTTTGGATGAAGAAGAAGAAGATAGTGAACAAGTGGCTATGTGTTTGTGGGTTTATTTGCTTTAAAGAAGAGAAGATTCAAGACAAAAGGATCATTTAAGAGGGTTGGGAGTGAAATTGACCAATTCAATCATTGAAGGGCTATATTTAAAATTCGTTGAAAGATTTGGGGTGTATGTATTAATAAAGAGACTGGTTCTGATATTTTTTATTGGAGTCGGTGAGGTTTTGGCTGTTGGGGTTAGGTTTCTTCTTATAGAAAGTTTTAAGATATGGCATGTAGTATGCCTATGCTTAGCTTACCCCGGCATGTTTCTCATTTCACATAAAATGGTCAAGTTCATTTCGTTTTATAGAGAGTATAGTTTTCAGGTTTAGTTTTTGTGTATATAAAAGAAATGTTATTTTGTTGAGCAAGACTTTTGTGTTCGAATTCTCAATACATTACTTTCATATTATGTAAGAGTAAGACAGTGTTGAGTGAGACTGTTGTGTACTTTGTGTTGATAGAGAATAAGAGTAAAAAAAGAATAAAGACAATGAGGGAAAAAACTAGTAAGTCCGGCCCATATAAGATAGAGTTTCCCATATGATTTAAGTTGGCCATAAAATATGGAATCTCACAAGCCCATTTATTTTCTGAAACAGCCATATACAGTAATTTGCCAATGTTCTAAAGATCTTTCATGTACAACTGTAAAAGACTTATGAACACTTGTAGAATACATATTTAATTTGAAGTTATTTCTGAAACAATATCTACCATCATTTAAAGGTTTATATGTTTGTGGTATTAAATCGATTAATATCTCCTAGAATATTATACATTTGTAACCTTTTACAATCAAAGCTAGCTAGGATGAATAAACCTAAAATTGTTTTTTGTTGTGCGTGTCTTAATTATCTCTTCATTTAGAATCCAAAAAATATCAATATTAAAGATGATCTACATAGATAGAAGCTCGCATTATATATGTTCGTAAGATATCTTAAGAAAAAACTAGAGTTATATAAAACATAAGAAAAATAATTATGGCAAAAGATATGATAATAGCCAGACAAAGAGGCAATCATAAGCATCTATATGTTTTATTCAAAACATGTCTTTGGCCCCTCCATGATTTCATTCTTTGACTCTCTTAATATTTTTTTTTGAATTTTCTTTTAAATAATAAATTATGTAATTATGATGTGTGTATAATGTATAGTGTATATACAAAACAAGATTATATATATGCATACAGGAATTTGTTTGCCTCTTTTTATTTTGGTGGTTAACTAGATTCTTGTTTGCCGTGTTTATGTGATCAAATCCATTTGAAACCACTTAAACCCAAAAACCCAAATGCCTTTCATTTTAGTCCCGCTAATGATTCAAAAGGAAAAAAAAAAACAAAAAAATAGGTAGGAACTTTTTGTGACATTAAAGAACACTAAGCATAATTTTCTTACACATTCGATCAACCAAACAAAACATGATATACATTGATAAGTATATATGTATATATTCACCCCAGGTCAAGAATATCAAGTTTTTCTTTTGAATAGTTACGTGACTAATTACGTACGTCTAAGTTCTAACGGCTTTTAAATTTTGATTAGAAAAGAAAAAAAAAAAGATAATAGCATCAAGGAATATTTACTGATTCTTTTTTAAAAAAAATGTTTACTGATTTTGCAAAGCACAAAATTACGTTTACGTTACAAGAAATTAAATAGTATATATTTGGCAGTTTGTTTTGAGATTTTAGAGCTTGCAGAGTTAATAATATAAAATGGTTGAAGATTGAGTTCCAAGATCTAAAACACTCCAATCCAATCGAATGATCTCAAATTCAAGGAGACCCAGAGTTTGTGGCGGGGCTACGTTAATCTTAATTCATACATCATCATATACTGTATAAGCTTTATTACGCCAGACACTTTCTAGATTAAACCGATTCTAATCAAATTAATAAATAAAAAATGCAGCGTGACCAGAAATCAAGAAAGCACAAAGTGTTAAGTTTAATCATATTTTTTTTTTCGTTTATAAAATTAAATAAAAACAAAAATACGATCAAGATTTATATATAAACACACATATATTTTCTTACAAGTATTCAAGAAGTTTAAAGCGTACGCGATACAAATTTCTTTCTATTCGTGTTTTCTTTCTTTCTTTCTTTTGTTAGTTTTGACCACCTAAATTTTTTCTTTATCAGAAAAGTAGATGAAAACCACATTTGTATGATTATACGGTAGAAGTTTATAATCATTACAGTCAAGATATTCGAGATTATTATGAATCGTATGCGTACAAATAAATAGCAAATACAAAATTTTCAAGATTAATTAGTTCATTAAACATGTTTACGGGAAAAAGGAAACTAGTGTCTGATTTGAAACATCTGTATGTTTATATATAAAAAGTGGTATATATCTGTATGTTTATATATAAAAAAGTAGTATATATAGTGTTGCCATGATTTCATAATTCATGCTGATGTAAACGGATCTCCAAGGAGACCATATTATAATATACAAACAAACTCATCATTAAAAAATATATATTCGCTTTACTATACAATACGAGACATATGTTTTTTTGTTATTTCAAAACTAGCTAAAAATACGAAAGATATATGTATAAATTACAAAAAAGAGAGATGGTGTGGTCCATATGATGGGTACACACTGCTCAAATTGCCTTACTTATCAAGCAACCTCTTAATACCTTTTTATTTTTTTGCAGATCAATTAAAATAAAACAATACAAATGATAGAATGAAATATATATATGAATAACAAAAGAATATATAATGATCACTTCTTCCAGGTCGATGCCCATGTGATGTGATCTCTCTTCCTCTTCTCGTCTTTTTTTTTTTCCTTTCTCTCTTCTTCTTTTTTACTTTTCGTTTGTTGTTTATTCTCTCTTAATTCAAAAATTACTCGATTAATTCCTTAACTAGAGAAGTTACTAGAGGTTGTGATGGTGACTAACGTTTATCCTAGAAAACTTTAAAATCTTTTTGAAAAGTAGTTTGAGGTATACATATTTTTAATATATTATCAGATTATATTACCATAAATAATTAAGGTCGGACTTTATCTAAATACAAATTCGATGTATTTTTTATTAGTGTGTATAGTATAGTCACAATGTCAAATGTATTAGACTACTAATGTAACTTTTTTCGACGTTACATAATACGTACTCATTTGTACACACATATGTAAAGTTTGAAATTCATCACCAAAAGAATACATGCATATGTATTTGTTACGAAATCCCAATGTATTCTTTTGCCACCATAAAACTGAACATAAACATCGATATATGGTTCATAGGAAACCCATACCAGTATTAGTATAAGCATACAAGTTAATTTTGTAATGAATTTTCGATATATGTTTTAAAGATAGCTAGAATGAGCAGTAAAAAAAAAAAAGAAGCATAGGTAGGCTGTACAAACGTAAAATTTTGAAACGTATACTGTATACATGTCCATATCTATATGTATACTAAGATAAATACATTTTTGAAAATACAAAAAATGTGAGAATTGAATATATGTTTGGAATATTAGGAAAAGTCATAGAATTTGTAAATAAAATTAAAATAAGTGAACAAACCGCTTCAGAGTTCAGACTTGAGAGAAGAGAGAGACTCTTCAAAGCGGCTTCATAAACCAGCAAAGGCAAAATAAAAAGGTGGGTCAGTAGTAGTGAATGGGTTTCAGAGCCACCTTTTCCTTTTTCTCTCTTGCTTAACTTCTTCAGTTAAAGTTTTTTTCTTATGAGATAGACACACATATATATACATATAAAAATATGTTATTACTATACTCTATACGTTTAATTAAAAAAGAAAAATCTCTCGAATGTTTTATAATCTTTCACATCCCAAACTCTCACACTTTCTCTTCTTCTTCTCCTCCTTCTTTCTTCTTCTGTCGTTTATTAACTCTCTCTCTCTCTCTCTCTCTCTTTCTCTCTCTTTCGATATCTATCTCTTTAATTCCTGATTTACAGTACAGTACTGTCTGAGATCTTATTCCGCTCGACCAAGTTTGTTCTTTTTAGCATAATTTGTGGGGGTTGGGGTTTTTTCCCCATAAAATTCTTACTTTGTCTTCTTCTTGTGTCGGTTAGGTTTTCAAGAAAACCCCTCTTTTGTCTTGTCTTCTCAAAATCAGTAGCTTCTCTTCTCTATAATAATAGAGGGTTTATTCATATCTTCTCTCTCTCTCTCTCTATCTCTCTCTCTCTCTCTCTCTATACATATATACTCTAGGATATGATCGGAAGAGTTGTGCTCTTATCTTTACACCTACACACATACGCATAGGGGAAAATAGGGTCAGAGAAATTAGAGAGAGATCGTGCGAGATGAACAAGAGTAATCCTGCTGGTTCGGTGACTGGTTCGGATATAATTGACGCAAAGATCGAAGAACATCAACTTTGTGGATCCAAGAAGTGTCCTAGCTGCGGCCACAAGCTCGAAGGCAAACCAGTAAGTAATATTCCTTTTTTTCTTCTTCCTTTCTTTCTTTTTTCATTTAACTTTAAAAAAAAAAAAATTCTTTTTCTCAGTTTAGGTCACTTGCAAATGTGTTTTTAAAGTAAAAAATAAAATAAAAGAGAGGAAAAGAATCAATGAAGAACATCAAGAATGATGCTCTCTGTTTTATTCTATCGCTTACAAAAATTCAAAATCCACATTTTAAAGCGTCTATATACGAGTCTTTATATGAATAGTTGTATATTCTCTTGTTCTTAAATTTTTTATATTACAAAAACAAAAATAAATGTTTTCTTTTTAGCAGGATTGGGTTGGTTTACCAGCAGGAGTGAAATTTGACCCAACGGATCAAGAATTGATAGAACATTTAGAAGCCAAAGTCTTAGCTAAAGACTTTAAATCTCACCCTCTCATTGACGAATTCATCCCAACCATTGAAGGCGAAGACGGCATTTGCTACACTCATCCTGAGAAACTTCCTGGTACTTCTACATGACTTACACCTTCATGCAGTCCATATATATAACATTCACAATATATATTAATTAGTTTGTAATATATGACTATATAATAAACATTAAGTCATACCAAAGTTTGAAACTTTTTTTTATATTTTGGTTACACATACACTATACGCATACGTTTTTATAACCTATATATACATTCTTCTTGCATTCCCTATCTTTTTTTTTTGGTCACCGCATTCCCTATCTATAATCACACATGCATGTCTTTTCTTATAATATATTTTAATATGACTATCAAATAAGATTTGGGTTCTAAATATTTTTTCGTTATCATTTGAGTCATACCAAAGTTTTGAATATTTTTATATTTTGGGTCATACAAGAAACATATAAAGAGTAACAAGGGATAAGAAATTTTATATTGTTAAATCTTGGTAGGAGTGACTAGAGATGGTTTAAGCAGACACTTCTTCCATAGACCATCAAAGGCGTACACGACCGGAACAAGAAAGCGAAGAAAGATTCAAACGGAATGTGACAATAATTTGCAAGGAAGTAGTAGCTCCGGTGAGACGAGGTGGCATAAGACCGGTAAGACAAGACCAGTTATGGTAAACGGTAAGCAAAAAGGTTGCAAAAAGATTTTGGTTTTGTATACCAATTTCGGTAAGAACCGAAAACCGGAGAAAACCAATTGGGTAATGCATCAATATCATTTGGGGACACATGAGGAAGAGAAAGAAGGAGAACTTGTTGTGTCTAAGATCTTTTATCAGACTCAGCCTAGGCAATGCAACTGGTCATCTTCTACATCGAGCTTGAACGCTTTAGGCGGCGGAGGCGGTGAAGCAAGTAGCGGCGGAGAGTATCATATGAGGAGAGATAGTGGGACTACTAGTGGTGGGAGCTGTTCTTCTTCTAGAGAGATTATTAACGTTAATCCTTCTAGTCGATCAGATGAAGTAGGCGGCATTGGTGGTGGCGTTATGGCCGTAGCCGCTGCTGCAGTTGCGGCTGGCCTTCCGAGTTATGCAATGGATCAACTCAGCTTTGTTCCGTTTATGAAGAGCTTTGATGAGGTATGCATCATTTTGTTTTTTCATATTAATTTTTCGTTAGTGAAATAACTAATATAACATGCATACTCGACTGGTACTAATAATGTGATATACATTTTAGCATACAATATAAATTGAATCTAATGTTGGAGTAAAGAAAATATAAACAAAGAACCTAATGTACATATATATATATATATAGAACAAAAAATTTAAATGGCTAAATCTTATAATGTCAGTTATAATGTTTTCTCCCATAAAGACTTAATTTTTTATTTTAAATCCAATGTGATATTTTATTTCACTTGAATTCAACCTAGTTTTGACTGTTATTTACGTATGCCATTCCCGCATGAAGGTAAGGGAGAAATAAATGATGTTTATAGGGTTTTTTTTTTTGAACAAAGGTTATTGGGTTCTTATTTGCCTGATTTGCAAGTAAAAATGCTTATTTTGTTTGTTTGTTTTTTTTTTTTACTTTGGGTTGAAATATTATGTACTTACCAAAGAAAAAAAATATATATATATATATATCAATTTACCCGACGTGACTGATAATAATGAACGGTAGGTGATAATCTATTCTTAGCTAACAATATGACCCAAAGTTTCACCCAACGTGATAAACTCAGAAAACAATGTCTAAACCGCAACGGTCCAAAAAAATTTATGGAATAATAAAAGTATTTTTTGTAATTAAAAGAAGCAAACATATATCAATTATTTTAAATCACCAATTAAATTTTATAACATTTCAGGTGGCGAGGAGGGAAACTCCTCATACCGGGCAAGCTATATGTGAGGGAGTTATGGCAGAACAACATAGTCATCGTCATCATCGGCATCAGGGATCATCATCAACATCGCATCATATAGCTCATGACCATCACAATCATCATCAACAACAACAACATCAACAACGGCACCATGCATTCAACATAAGTCAGCCTACACATCCAATATCAACCATCATTTCTCCATCTAGTTCGCTTCACCATGCCTCCATTAATATCCTTGACGATAACCCTTATCATGTTCATCGAATCCTGCTCCCCAATGAAAATTACCAGGTAACATAGCTAATCTCTTCTAAAAAAAAAAAAAACAACGTATAACAGTTTTTATCACATCTCCCGTTTTAGAGATTATCCAGGAGTAGGTACCGGTTTCATGTCATAAAACCAAATTAGCTAAAATATCACTATTATTTATATATAACTATCAAAAGAAAATTACGTTATGTTAGTATTGATTGACGTACTAAATAAGGTTCAAAAGTAATAAAAAGTTAGGGCTGTGATTTTGCAAGGTAATTAATTATAGTTAGTGGTGTTACTAATTATGTGTAGGTTTTTATTCTGTTCGTCCACACATATGCATATATATATATGTCGGTATTTGAATTAAGTACTAGAAATTGTATTTCTTGCACATGTTAGGTTTTGAAGATATTTGCATGCATGTGACTTCACAATGATGGGACTACATAAGCATGCAAATTGGGTTGTACCAAAATTGATTATGACAAAAAAGTATACATAAGATATTGGTCAAGAAAAAAATATAACAACTAAAGTTACAGTGCCTAATAAATAATTATGCTGATATAGTCTATTAAGATGTGTCGAACTAAACTACCCATTATCAAAAGCGAACAAAAGCTAAGTCACTTTTTTAGTGTCAGCCAAACTAAGAACAAGTAGGAAACCAATGTGGTCTTTGGTGATGGAGAGACAAGATGGGAATAATGTTTATTAAGATAATTTTCTTAAGGAATTAAATAATAAATTTATTTTCTTCTTCTGAAATTTTTTACTTTTGTCTTTATTGACTGAACAAAAAGACACAACAGCAACAACGTCAAGAAGGAGAAGAAGAACATAATGATGGGAAGATGGGAGGAAGGTCAGCTTCTGGATTGGAAGAACTCATAATGGGCTGCACTTCTTCTACCACTCATCATGATGTAAAAGATGTAAGTTATTAATCCCTTTTTTGACTCTTAAATTTCATGGGAAAAAACCCTCTTTTTTTACCATCATGAGTTTTAAGAAAATATAAATGTGAGACATAGAATCATCATCACCTTAAATAAAAATGTCATGCATTGAATTAGATGTTTCTTGGTACCACGTAGATTCAGAACTATCGTATGGCAGTCATCATATACAAGTGAGACATACTAAACTCGATGATATAAACAAAGGTTTTAAAGATAATATATATAGTTTTTCTTGTAAGGACATATTCATTAGTCGAAGATGGCAATGTAGGTTATATTTGAACAAAAGTAAAGAATATTTTTAAGAATAACTTTTTTTCTTTTTCAGTTTTGCATGGGAATGAAATGATACTTAAGACTACAAAATATTCCTTCTGCATTTATTATTCTTTACTTAATTGGAAAGAGTTAAAACACAGTTAAGTAAACAAAACCAAAAAAAAAAAAAGATAAAGAAAGAGAGATGTGTTTGCTTTATACTTATAAATTACTCTTTTTACAGAACAATAGAAAATTTGCCAGATTCTTTTCTTTATCTTTTTCAAAACTAATTAAAAAGGCAATGATGGTGGATATAAACTTATGCTTATATGTAATATATACTCAATGCGTGTATATATTATGTAAATAGTATAAAGACTTTTTTCATGCGTAGTACCTCGCGAGACAAGTTCGGTAAGAGACATTAGTAGATTTCATGGTGTTTCGTGGGGGACAGCATGTCTGCATTCCTTTTTTTAATCTGTCTAAAATTTGATGGAAGGTTCTTATTATTATTTTTTTAATATTTGAAAAAAAGTTATTATATATATATATACGCCTCATTTGTGGAATACTAACATGTTATTTCGGTTCAGGAAACAATATGAAAGGCTAGTATATAGAATATATATGAAATTCAGTCCGGTTTGTATTGGTTTAGTTAGTTTCTAACAAAACTGAATGTGATCGACTTAGACTAGCTAGTTCTTTATGCTCACACACTTTATATATGTGTGTGTATATATTGAGAAGCGGTTTGGATTGGTGCAGGGGTCATCATCAATGGGGAACCAACAAGAAGCAGAATGGTTGAAGTACTCCACGTTTTGGCCAGCCCCTGACTCTTCTGACAACCAAGATCATCATGGGTAATTGTGCCGTTTTCCAATCTGATGATCATGTCGGCCGACATCAAAAAAAGATTTCTACCATCAAACCTAGCTATCATCATCATGGTCATCATCATCATCAATATCGACATCTCTATATATGGAAGGTGGTATATAGATCGATCTTGGACCAATCAAGTTATATATATGCATGATTTTGAAATGGTGGAGGGGTTTTTAAGCAGCACCAAAAATCAAGCGTCTTTTTTTTTTGTTATATATTCAAAAGAATTTTGGTATAAAAAGGAAAAAAGAAAGAAAGAGAAAAAAAAAAAACCAAAGTAAAAAAAAAAAAAGCATGAGAGAAAAAGCTGTTATATTCCAAAGAGACTAAGAAGAAAAGAAGCAAGGTAAATTGCATGAAAACCATCAACAGTGCCATGTAAGATTAGATATGTTTATTTTTAAACTCATTTCTTTTGTTATTTTAATTTCTTTGTATGTCTTTTCTTTGTTTTGTCAATTAGGTTGAACTGTATAATTTATTGGTTTTTTTGTTATATACTATATGTTGGTAAATAATATACTTTCCCTGTATACTTTATGATTACTGTAGTTCATTCTACTTTTGGCAATCCGATGCACTGAAACCCAAGTGTCACTTGCTACTTGCATCTATACATTTATATATTTACGAAAGGCCGGTTTGATTGTGCATGGAATCATCTAAACTCAGTTTCAAATTATATGTTTAATAGTATTATGTCCCTTTCATACTATCAATACTCTCATACATGGGTCATGGGAACTTTTTTCGAACTGTCATGATCTTAATGGTCTATATAGTGGCATATCTATAGAGTTTAGTATCATAAATTACCTTCAGTGTAACATTATCCACTTTGATAGGATAATTTTAAATAAGGTCTACTAATGCTAAAAAAAAAAAAAAAAAAAAGTTTGATTGCTTGAGTTTTGGTAGGTTTGAAGAGAGAGGAGGGAACTACACCCAAATGAAATTGATTCCGGTTAGAAGATTTGAAATTGTGGAATAATGGAATCTATACCTAAAGAATATAAGAAGTAATGCCATCTTAAAAAAGCACTTGTCTATGTTTGTGTTTGGTCTCTTTAGTCTTTAATTAATTCTTCCCCATATTCCATATTGATCCGCTCGTCTTCTAGCATATTATTAGATGACCCCTACAACGGCATTATTCTTCGTTGGATTAATCGACTACGTGGTCTATCTGTTCACAAGTTCAAATATCTTAATTCATTTACGTACGTTAACAAGGTTTTTCTTATAAATTTAGACTGACTACCTTATTTAGTTGACAGAATTATTTACTGAAAAATGTTATATATGCATTATGCATGCGTTAGCAAAGTCTTATTATTATTTATTAATCATGTTGGCTTAGCTGATAATTTCCCTATTATTCTAAAAATAAATTAATGTAGAATTTTGACTACCAAGAGATTAAAATAGCATGCACATTACCAATATTGATCCAAGAGATTAAGGTTTAGTAGTAAATTCTCCAGGTTGATTTGTGTTCATGGGACAATGGGAGAGGAAAAAGCAAAATCAACATGGGGAGAGATGAGATGAGACTTGACACTTTTTTTTTTTTTTTTTTTTTTTTGCCATGGTTGGATTTCGAAACTGGAATAAAGGAATAAACAGACAATAGTTACCTTTATTTCCTTACTTCTTTTTAATAATTTTAGTTTTTCCCTTTCGACAAATGGATTCGCTTTCCCATTTCATATTTTGAACTCATATTATATTCCTCGAAATCGTATTTTAACGTACCAGTATTCAAAATTTTATATAACATTTTCGTACTTTTTATATTCATATATTAACATGGTCCGTCTTTAATTATATATACTCCAAGAATCAATTTTACTTCCTTTTTCTTATGCTGTTTGTTTTTATGTGGACTCCATGATTACTAGACAGAGAGTTGATTTGACAAATGACTAAACAAACTGTATTAAACAAATGTCGAAACGATATTGGTATATCTGCATGAAATTTACCTTATTTTTCTTATGGTACTGTCAAGAATATTTTAAATAATGCTTTCGGATATATAATAATCGACATGAAGATATTATGTACCATTTTAAAAACAAAAATAACACGACGTTACATGATAAGGTGCAGCTACGTAGCTCAAGTGATATATATATAAGTATTGTAAGATTATTCAATAAATTAGATGTTTATATGTAGAACATAAATCAGTTGATAAAAAAAAAAATGTATAACATAAATCATACATCTCATTATGTTTACATTAGTAGACTACATATATAGTAAAAATGTTTAACTCATTAGAGTTAACATTCTTTTCAGTTTTCAACGTATGTTTTTATCAAATAAAGTTTTACAGCCATTTTCTTCGATAGAGTAATAATTAAAGGAATACATAGGGGAAATATCAAGTAGACTTCTTAGGAATTGGGCTTCATGGGCCCATTACATGCTTAATTTCATTTGAGTTTAGAATGCACTTGCTTCCAATTGGACTTAACATTAGCTTGGTAATTCAACCAAACCTACCTACCAGCCTACTACACACCACGGACATGTTTGTCGGTAAGACAATAAACGATCCGATTACTAATGTTCGTAAACCCCTCCATGCACGTCCAGTTTCAGTACACAGATCTCGTCTTCTTTTAAACCTATCGATTTGTTTTACAAATCACACCGCAAACTATCTTTCATATTCTATTTCCATCCGTATAATATCGAAAACCACTTTTCAATAAGATATTTTATATCATAGTCTTTAAACTGTTCCACCTCAAAAGATATTTTATATCTCTGTAGCTAGAGTTGTTTTTATGTTACGCACTGAAAACCATTAAACACAGTATTTGGTGATGTAGATAGTCAAATCTACTACATCATAAAAATAGTACTACATATAAATGGTATTTTATAGAGACTGGTGACATCAAAATACAAAAGGAAATTTATTTCGTTTGTGTTTTTGTTTTTTATAGTGAATGTTTTGAAATCTACAATTATTTGTTGTTTAGCTTGATCAAGTAAAATCTATTTATTGTGGAGAGTATATATATAAAGCTTTCCTCTCAATAATTGCATTCAAAAGAAAGAAAAGAAAAAAACATTTGGATTGAATGCAGCTATACATATATTAGCTGAAATTGTTTAAATGAAGACACAAATGCATTTGTGCCACTCCATGTGATGCACTTACTCCACACTCCCAAACATCTCCCACACAAGTCAACAACACCATTTTCCACAAGTCACAAGCTATGCCTTTTTTTATTTATACCATCTAGATTCTGTTCATTTTCTTTGGCTTCACATTTATTGTTACATTCTTGATTACTGATGTCTAAAAGATTCGCAATCAAATATTAGAACTTGTATAGTATTAGGTTGAGTTAAAATGATGATTAGGTTTACTAAGAACAGAATCAAACGAGTGGATCCATTCCAAATGACAGATGTTAATACGTGAGAGTTTCCTTGTTGAACACATTCAAAAAACAAACATGTGATCCATTATTTTATACTGAAGTGCATTATATTATATCAAAAGTGGAACAAAAGGCAAAAATAAAAAAAGAAAAGATGAAGATGAACCCGTGATATATATGATTCATGCAATCATAAGTTGAACACAAACAGTAAACTTAACAAAACAAAGGCAAATTGTGAAATAACTACACAAGGAACAAATCAGAGCTCTTTTTCATAATCTTGTCCCCTCCTCCTCATATCATCAATGCTTCTTCAACCACATTCACTCTGTTTTTCATAATCTCCCTCTTTCTCTCTCTCTCACACACATACGCACTCAGTGACACATCAATCCTCATTAAGCCTCTGAAACAATCACTATTCGTTCTCTTTCCTTAAGTGTCAACTCTTAACAAAAGCTACTTGGAAGACAGAAAAAATGCCAAAGAAGAAGAAAGGGGAAGGCAGCAACTTTGAGCTTCTTTGTTTCTTCCTGGTCTTGTGTAATTTGGTTCAGACAGATGCTTCTTTTGGAGTAGGAGGAGGTGTTGGAGTCGGAATCGGCGGCGGTGGTGGTGGCGGAGGTGGTGTTTGGATTGGCGGCGGATACAACAACGGTGGTAACCGTAATGCAGTTCCAGGATCAGCTCCAAACAGTGTAGCTTATAGTGCTCTTCAAGCTTGGAAAGCAGCAATTACAGAGGATCCTTCAGGTGTTCTCAAAACATGGGTTGGATCAGATGTTTGTTCTTACAAAGGTGTGTTCTGTTCTGGTCAAACCATAACCTCCATAGATCTTAACCATGCAAATCTCAGAGGCACACTTGTCAAAGACCTAGCTTTACTCTCGGACCTCAACATCCTCCACCTCAACAGCAACAGATTCTCAGGCCAAATCCCAGATTCTTTCAAATCCTTAGTTTCACTTCAAGAACTTGATCTAAGCAACAACTTACTCTCAGGTCCTTTCCCTTTAGTCACACTCTACATCCCAAACCTGGTTTACCTCGATCTCCGGTTCAACACTTTCTCCGGTTACCTCCCTGAAGAGCTTTTCAACAAACGGTTAGACGCGATTCTCCTCAATAACAACCAATTCGCCGGAGATATCCCGAGAAACCTCGGAAATTCTCCGGCTTCGGTGATCAACCTCGCGAACAACAGATTCTCCGGCGAAATCCCGACGAGTTTTGGCCTCACGGGATCGAGAGTGAAGGAAGTTTTGCTGTTGAATAACCAGTTAACCGGTTGTATACCGGAATCTGTTGGTATGTTCTCTGAGATTGAAGTCTTTGACGTAAGCTTCAATTCACTGATGGGTCATGTCCCAGAGACCATCTCTTGCTTGTCGGCGATTGAAATTTTGAACCTTGGACACAATAAATTCTCCGGCGAGGTTCCTGATTTGGTCTGTTCGCTGAGGAGTTTGATTAACCTCACTGTTTCTTTCAATTTCTTCTCTGGGATTAGCTCTGAGTGTTCTTCCAGGATTAGTTTCGGTTTCGATTTCGTCGGTAATTGTATCCCGGGGAGGAACTCGCAGCGGCCGCAGCCGGATTGTTCAGGTTATTCCGGCGGTGCTATGAGCTGTTTTAGGATTCCGGCGCAGCCTTTGGCTTGTGCTGCGATAAGTGTTGGATTGAAAGTGGGTAACGATCATTACACTTCATCTCCTCCATGATTAGTTTTTCTTAAATGTAGAAGCTTTTTAATGCTTAAAGATTGTAATCTTTTTTTTTTAGTGACTCAAATTAGTTAATTAGTAACCAGTTTAAATGTTAAGTCATCTTGCTAGTGTGTTTTTGTAACCAGAAGAATTTTGTATAATCTAACACAAGAACAAGATTAAATGTAAATTAAATCAGAAATGAGAGAACGATCAGGCACGGCAAAAATTTATTAGGGATCCGACCGTAACAGAAACATGTTTTACGGGACCATGAAAGTTTTACATTCCCTAAGGAGAGGGTTGTTTATAGTTCATGGGAAAAGAATGTGTTGAGAAACATGAAACTATATACTTGATACACACCAACAAACACATGTTATATATATGGTATACAGAAATGTACAAGCACATATTAAAGCTGGATTCTAACCAAAGAAAACAAAAAAATGTTTTCGAAAGAGAAGACAATAATGGAGGAGGACCGTGTGAGATTCATATGCAAAAGAACCGTGGTGAGCACTAGATCGGTCGAACCAGGGAGATTGTACCACTTTTCAGTATTGGACCACGTCATGGAACCAAACCAGATTCGTCTAGTGTACTATTACAAGACTTCCAAGACTAGAGAACCGGGAGAAATCACAAAAAAATTAAGGGAGTCATTAGCATACACACTCAATTGTTATCCGATTATAACCGGGAGATTGGTTAAGGAAACTGATGGTAAGGAAGAGAAGGAGGATGTAATCCTGCGGTGGAAGGTGAAGAGCAACGACGCTGGCATGAGGATGGTTGAGGCAAGAGCAGCCGGGTCAGTTGAGGAATGGCTTAGAAGTGTTACTAGAGAGGAAGAACTCAAGCTTGTTCATTGGGAAGACATGTATCATCTTCATTATTATTGGTCTACCTTTAATGTTCAGGTATATATCAATATACAGTAATTCGGTTTATCCTGGTTTGGTTTAGTACAGTCTGGTTATATCTTATTTATTGGTTTCTTTTTATCTATAGGTGACTGAGTTTGAAAGTGGTGGGTTAGCTATTGGGTTAAGTTGTAGCCATCTCTTAGCCGATCCAGTTTGTGCAATGATGTTTATGCGAGCTTGGGCTGATTTAACTCTGTCTCGGTCCATGATGGCTCCACCACTTTTCCATCCGTTGCCGCCTCGCCGGTTTGCTAACGATGGACTGATCTCTAACAACCAACTGCTTAGCCAGTACATCAAATCTTGCTCTCTAATGGTTTCACCATCAAACGTGGCCGAGGACCATATGGTCACGGTTACTCTCCTATTCCCGGATCCGTTGGTCAGAGCTGGCGAGAATGAGTCAGCGATTTCGACATTTGAGATATTGGCTGGACTCTTCTGGATATGTGTGAGTCGAGCCAAAGGGAAAAGAAACGAGCTCATGGACATGTCCTTGTGTTTAGACGTAAGAAAATTATTGCGTTTAGACCAAAGTTATTTTGGTAATTGCATGGTTTACCATAAGGTCCCCTATTCCAAACCGGTTAAAACCAAAGACAGATTGTTACTGTTTCACGCTGTTGAAGAGATTCAGAACATAACTAAGAGACTAGACTACGACACGGTCATGGACTTGATCGAATGGCTGAGTAGCAATAATGGAGCGATATCTAATGGTTCGGACCTCGTGTGTACTAATTTAGAGAACATGTCTCATCCGCGTCCAATGATGTTTGAGGAGGATTTAGTTCTGAGACATATGTCTTGCTATGTTAAAGGACCTGTAGCTGGAGGTGGACAAGTCATAGTACTTCCTTCACCCTCCGGTAAGGGACCAAAGAGCCGAGTGGTTATGATCAGTCTTCCTCAAAGGGAGATGACTAAGGTCGTAGAGGATGAGCTTCTTCTAAGCTTTTCCCCGGTTATACTTATGAAAAATACAAAATAATCAATAAAATGAAAATAAATAAATTATCATTACGCAAATCGCTTACATATACAAAAAGAAATATCAAATGTTATTGATGTGAATAACATGTCTAAAAATGGGCTGTTTGATATTGTTCTTTCAAATCCCCATAAATGTCTAAACATACATAAATCGTGACATAATACATAAATCAGAACAGGGTGATCAAGGAATGTAGTACATGGGATTAGGGACTTTGAAAGAACGATCAGCCACGGCAAAGCCTAGAAGATCACTCCACTGATCACCGGTATTGCCTCGGATTTTGAAACCTTCCTCGATCAGTTTCGCCCGCTGCTCTGATTTGTAATCTGTAGCTGATTTCCCTTGATCTTCTGGACCTCTGCAATCATATATGTTTTAGGGAATTTATGGTATACACCAATTTGGTAGGGAATTTATGGTATAGCCGTATAGCTTTTTACCTCAAGAGGAGACGTTCCCAACCGGAATAACCCGCATCGCGGAGATTTGTCTCGGTGAAACTCCTTTGATCCTCGTCCCGTCCGGTTAACAGAATGATAGTGAAACCAAGTTTCTGGAGAGCATTGTATAGTTTCAAACTCGCATCAAAAGCTGGAGCTGTTCCTTGTAGCACCCACTCACTAAAGCTATTCGAATCATATGGTTCAGACCTAAACCAACATTGCGATTACAATACCAGCGATCAATTTCGGTTTAGTAAAAAAAGGTCAACGATGTATAAAGTCAATAATCATCAAGACCGTTGATTTTATGAATCACATTGTAGGTAAGACAAAATCCAACGGCTACCAATAGAGAGAACATACCCGTAACCATGAGCCTTGTAGTAGTCGATATTAGTGAGGAGCGTCTCGTCGATATCAAAGACCCAGACGTCTTTGCCGTCGCCGGAGATATCAACCGATTTCGCGAAGGAGAGGGCGTAATCGGCGATGACATTGTAATCGGATAAGAACTGGTCTCCGTTGAGATAATCGGCGACGGGATCAACGCAGACGGAGGGGATCACATCCCAAGTTCCGGCGTTGTTGGTCTCGGCGGCTAATCTCCAGCTGTCGCAGTAGCGAGATCCGTCGCTTCGGGGGAGCTTGATGAAGGAGGTGGTGCGAGCAGAGGTTGAGGGATTGATTAAGAAGACGAAGAAGAACCAAATCGAAAGGCTAATACGACCAGACGCCATTCGATAGATTTAGAGAGAGAGTGACTTCTCCCACTTTATATTATCCTTTTGTAACTCTTTTACTGGACCAAAAAAAAATATATATATATATAAAATTATACATTAGTAACTAGTAGTATTATCATATTTTATATAGCTTCGAAACGATCATAAATTCATAAGTTATCTTCTCTGTAATCTTAAGATTCAAGTTTAGTGAACTTTAAACAAGAGAAAAACAAAATATATATTTTGATATAGATTTACCTCAAAAAAATATTTTCTCTTTTTAACGTAAAAATATCAAAAAAAACAAAAATTTGATTCATATTATACGTAAAGTGAAATATCTAAGCATAGAACAAAACTAAGAAAAGAAAGATTATCCATGTTCAAGTTTTAAGAATATTGATGGTCAAATTTTATAAAGACCATGGGATATCATATCTTTTTATATAGAAATGTATCTTTTTTGGGCATATTCATATTTGTTTTGGCAAATTAGTACGTTTTTGAAATATAATTATAAAGATAGTACATTTACTATTCACAATTAGCAAAATAGTACAATTTTATATTTGTACAGACAGACAACTGTACAATAACATATTATTATACATCAAATATTTGTACAAAGAAAAACAATTACATATAAACATATTTACACATAAACAAACACACATATATAGACCAAAAAATATTTGTACACATATAATTATATGTATATATAAACCGCTGTACGGATGATTTTCCGTACATCGACACATAATTGTACATAAGGATAGCTGGACGTATCAAAATTTGTTTGAAAAATATTTGAAATTATTTTTCAAAAAATGCATATCAAATTATAGAGAAAAATTATAGATTTTTATGTAACTGAAATTTTATACAAAACAAATATATTTTGATGAATATTTTTAGTTATTAGATTTAAAGGGGTTTTTAATAGTGTCTAAATAGTGTCCAAATAGTAAAAATGTATTAATTTGCTAATAATGAATAGTAAATGTACTACTTCTATAATTATGTTTAAAAAATGTACTAAAAACCCAATTAATCCTTCATATTTTGTAGTCTCCTTTACATTTATTGTAGGTGGATACGTTTCCTAGAAAGCGTTTTTATTTTCTTTTTATTTTGGTCAACATGTTTCTCTTGGCATTTATAATAATCTATATAAATACATGTTTTAACTCTATCCAACAATTTCAATATCAAAAAAAATTCAACAAAGTCCAAACAATCGATCAACAACAGTATCCTTTGTTTTTTTTTTTATTTATCATCCAACAGTATCGATCATACAACAGTATCCTTTGTTTCTGCAAGTCATGTCTAAACTTTTGTATTCGTATATGTTCATCACCATATGTTCATCACCATCCTTGTCCTCTCAGGTACCATTTCGATTTCATTAAACATGTTATTACTGAGTGTTACTTGACAAGCTGTATTGTAGATCGATGCATGGTTAGTTTGTAACTAACAATATTGCACACATCACGAACGTGTATTTCTTTTTAACTCTAGGTTTAGATACTTTTGAACTAACCACTATATCAACATAGAAAATTGCTCGTATGTTTTTTTTTATATCATATACAACTTAGAACTATTTTTGTAAACTTGTTAAAAGAGTTTTTTCTTTGTTTTTAGGAGCTTGTTTGGCTCTGGCGTCAAGGCAAGGGGGAGATCCAAAATTGTGTATTAGGACCGACATACCAAACTATAGCTACCCATGCCATTCACAAGAATGCAAACAATATTGTTTTAGATACTACAGCGGTGATGGCAGTTGTAGCCGTAATAGTTGCTGTTGTGTATACCAATGTTAAGCTGAGAGTATGTTGTTAAATCTAGACCTTAATGTTATGGTATCTTCGTTACTTGGAGGATGAATAAATTATGCTTTAAATATGATTCTAGTATCTGATGATTGCCAATGAAAACTGGGTTTCGTATGATTGAACCTTAATTATAGAGTAAAATATCTAAAGCACATAAACTAATGATATTTTTTTTTTTCTTTATTATGTTTATAGTAAGAAATTAAAAAAATTATGTTGGACTCTCTATATATATGTATTGGTCAAAGTCTTCATATTTGTGAATATGCTTCCCAAAAAGAGTTTTTTTCTTCTATATACAGTACATATGTTTCTCTTGTCACGAGACTAATAAATCTATAAAAACGTTTTGACTCTATCCAACAAATAAGTGTTAGATTGCCTTAATCTGTATGGTCAGACATTGGATTAACTTAATTAATACAAAATGTTGGTGCACAAACAAAATAACTTAGATTTATCAAAGTATAAATTATATTGGAAAAAAGTGAACATGTGGAAACTCCTTGGTTCAATGGTTAGCCAAAAGTTGATTAATACTCTTACACCTCCGAGAGGGTTTGGGGTTCAATATTCAAATTAATTAATTACAAAGATTAAGGAGATAAGCTTATATGAAATCATTAAAGTTGTTCGCCCTGATTTTACGTTGATAAAATAAAATATCATTCGTAAAATCGTCATTGTAACGTTTACATAATTTGCAATAATTAATTCAAAAATTAGAAAAAACACATTTTGGTTTTTTTCTTCATATTTACCTAAATTTAAATATCCAAGCACACAAAAACTAAGAAGAGATCGATTAAAGATGTCAAATGGACTATCCAGGTTCAAATGGGCTGTCACCAAATGGATATTGATGGTCAAATTCCAAATAAGATCATTTCATATTCTTTTATAGAAATGTAATATCTTTTACATAAATCAATTATTTTCAAAAAATAATTTTGATCCTCCTTTTTCTGATTATGTGCACCAAATATTTAGTTCATAATAGAAAGATACAAGGAGATTTGGGCAGATTCATATTTTTTATTATCCGTTACATTTATTGTACGTAGATATGTCCTAGAAAGAGTTTCTCTTGTCAGTTATAAATTATAATCTCTATAAAAACATGTTTTAACTCTATCCCACTTTCAGTATCAAAAAGATTCTCCAAACAAAAGCTTAAAATAGATCAACAACAGTATCCTTTACATTTTCCGCAAGTCATGTCTAAACTTTTGTATTCGTATATGTTCATCTCCATCCTTGTCCTCTCAGGTACCATTTCGATTTCTAGGGTTAGATACTTTTGAACTAATCACTATCAAATAGAATATGCTCGTATGTTTTTTTTTATATTTAATATACTTAAAACTATATTTGTAAACTTATCAAAAATAAAAATTAAATCTTAATTTGTTTGTAGCAGCGTGTTTGGCTCTGGCAGTTTCAGAGGGAGAGGGACCAAAAAGGTGTAGTACGATCGTAAACCTTAGCAAGCCATGCAATTTTCAAGAATGCAAACAACTTTGTGTTAAAAGGTTCGACGGGGATGGCCTTTGTCCCGTAAAAAACAAGAATATTTGCGCTTGTGAATACGATTGCTAAGCTAAGATATATCTCGATCGTACGTCGTTAAAACCAGACCTTTCATGTACTTGGAGGATGAATAAAAATATATTCTAGTATCTGATTACTAATAATATATTAAAAAAGAAATCTTGATAAGAGTTTAATCTCTAAGCTTTGTATTCCATTGAGTATGAATGAAATCATATGCTTTTGCCCCAAAAAAGTTATAAAAAAAAATTAAGAGTTTAATTTTGTTTATAGTAATTATTAAGTATACTCTCTTTATAATGAGTCAAAGTCTTCACATTTTTGAATATACTTCCTATAAAAAAAAACGTTATGTGAATGACTTTATCCCTCAAATAAGTGAATTAGATTAAAAATACCCTCTCATTTATTTCGCAAGTCACTGCCAAACCATTGTGTTCGTATTTTCTCATCTTCATGTTCGTCCTCTCAGGTATCAATTCTTATGCCTTGTATGTATGCATGAACATGTTATAAAAAACTCACACATGTCTACTCAAAATCATTTGTAAGCTTTCTAAAATATAGTATTCCCTTTGGGGTTTTTTTTTATAGCCTTTTTGGCTTTGTCAAGTGCAGAGGAAATGTATATCAAAAGATGTGTTGTGGAGGTGAAACTAAGCAAGCCATGCACTTATCATGAATGCCAACCACTTTGTTTGATGAGGTACAAAGGGAATGGTGTTTGTCCTGGCAAAAACAACATTTGCGCTTGTGTTTTCTACTGCTAATTGAGCTGAGATATCATCATATGTTGTTAAGCTAGACCTCAAGTTACTTAAAAGGATGAATATTTAAAATTGATGCTTTAAAAAATAATTTCTGACTTCTCTTTTTGTTTTTGTTCTTCTTCTTCTTCTAATTGCAGGTCATTATTCTCGTTGACCTCTCTGTTTCAACTGTTAACCGAAATCAGAATAGAAAACAATTTAGAGTTTTGAGAGGGAAGAGTAGGAAGAAACTAGTTCATTCGATCATCTCTATCACAGACTCACACATACAACCTTATAGAGTTATAGTGAAAGAAAGAGAACTACTCTCTGATTTTACTGACTAATACATAATTATCAATTAATCACTCTACTTGTACTTGACATGCTTAACTCTAGGCTATATAGCTTAGTTCTTCAAGTAAACAAAAACCATTAGAGAAAACATAGGCTTCGAACAACTTCTTTGACTTACAAATTATTCATACATTATTATTTTTTTTATTCATACATAAAGTCTAAATATTTCATTCAACATATTACATATCAATAGTTGATGATCATGATCAAGCAATGTAGTACATAGGATTGGGGACTTTAAAGGAACGAGTGGCCACGGCAAAACCTTGTAAATCACTCCATTGATCGCCGGTATTTCCATGAATTTTGTAGCCTTCTTTAACCACTTTTGATCTCTGCTCTGATTTGTACTGTATTGCTGTTTTTCCTTGATCATTTTTGCCCCTACATCAAATGCATAGACCAAAATAAATTCTTAGTCCCTTTTTTATCCCTTATGAACCGGCTCATATATCTGACAAGTTTATTATATAGATAGCCAAAATAGTTTGTAGATTGGTAAATTACTTTTCTGAGAAGTTGGTTTGTAATTTACTCATAACATGATGATAAGATTTTGGTATAGCTTTTTTTACCTCAAGATGAGTCGGTTCCAACCGAAATAACCGGCGTTTCGGAGATTTTTCTCGGTAATACTCCTTTGATTTTCATCTCTACCGGTTAGCAAAATGATAGTGAAACCAAGTTTCTTGAGAGCTTTGTACAGCCTCAAGCTCCCATCAAAACTTGAGGCTTTTCCTTGAACCGCCCATTCATTGAATTTAGCGTTGTCGTATGGTTCAGACCTAAATCACTTGCACCAATTAGCAACAAATAATGCTAGCTAGATACAAAAAAAAAAAAAAACTTAAACCGAGAGAAGTTATCCCCGGTTTGTTGGTCAACGAAGTTAGTCAAACAATTATTACGATTTTATTAGCGTTGATTAGAAAAAGTGACACATATTACTTACCCGTAACCATGAACCTTGTAGTAGTCCAGATTAGAGAGAAGGGTCTCATCAATGTCAAAGACCCACGCGTCCTTACCATCTCTGCCTAGGTTGATCCTTTTAGCATATGCGATGGCGTAACGAGCAACTATATTGTAATCATTCTCGAACTGGCCTCCATTGATATAGTTTTTAACGGAGTTAACGCATCTGGACGGAACCACATTCCAGCTCCCAGCATTGTTGGTCTCTGAGGCCAATCTCCAGCTCTCGCAGTTGGAAGCGACGGATACACGAGGATGCTCCTTGGTGAAGGCTCGAGAAGAGATCGTTGGATTAACTAAGACGGCTAATAAAGAGACGATGAAGAACGACGTAATCGAGCTGCTGTTACGAGAACACATTGTTTGAGTTGATGAGCTAGAGAGGCTTTTGTTTTTTAAGATAATAATTTTGTCTTTCTGTGTAGATATTGGAATTAGAATAAGATTGGCCAGGGAATATAAAATGAAATCATGAAATGTTGTCGTATTATTGATACACCCACGTGATTTTTAACGAGAACCACAACGTTCACACAGGCTTTGGATTAGATTTTTGATATGCTGACAAAAAAAGGTAATAAACCAATTTATTAACCATAGTTTTGAGACATTTTCTTCAAGATATAGTATATGATAGTTCCTAAAATGAAGCTAACTTTGACAAAAAAAGTCAAGAAAGCATGAAAACGAGAAAGGAATGTTATTAATTTTCAATTGGAATTTGAGTTATTATTCTTTAAGTCCATTAGGTTGCAATCTTTTGACTAATGTGGTTGGTTGACTAATTAGAGATATGTAGTTCTTTCTACATAAGGTAACATGTTCCATTCTCATCCTTTAATATTTAGTCATATTCTTGCAACTCTTTAGTCTTTACCAAACCTAAAAGCTTTAGTTAGTAGAATTATATTAATAAGCTTTGATTTTTTTTTTGTACTGCTGCATTACACTTAAAAATACTTGTCTAATTGGGCTTACTGTTTCTATTCAACTATTGATACCTTTATTTATCTCAAGGGGTATGCAAGGGTTCAAATCAGTCATTCTTTTGAGTGGATATGAGTGCATACTGCAGAGTGTACCTATCGAATCATTTCCAAAGATTTTACCTGATATTTTCTTGGAGTACTGATTGAATAACAATAACATTTTGCTTGATTTACGTCGATAATATTTTGATTCGAATGATTTGGTTTCTTTATTCTATATTTATTCAGTCACCTTTTCCCTAATCATAGAGAAATTAAGAGCGTTTGAAGCATAAATCGTACTAGAGATAAAGGAACGTGGTAAATTATTTCGGTGAATTAAGGAATACATTCAAATACTAAAAAGTCAATGCAACATATCAATAGTCAGACTATATCAAGCAATGTAGTACATTGGATTTGGGACTTTGAAAGATCGAGTGGCCACGGCAAAACCTTGCAAGTCACTCCATTGATCGCCTGTGTTTCCATGGATCGTATAGCCTTCTTTAATCACTTTTGATCTCTGTTCGGATTTGTACTGTGCTGCTGCTTTCCCTTGATCTTCATGACCCCTGCATCAATTACATTAACCAACGACTCAAAACCTTAGTATTTTTATTTTTTGAATGAATGTTACATTTACTGTACCTTTAAATGCAACCTTGGATCTAATGATTAAAACAAAGTAGCTAATGAGAGTCCAAAATATGATCTCTAACACCAAATCTTAGTATTTTTCGTCATGTACGGGTTGGTTCATAAGTTTAGCCAGGATGGCTAATCTTTTTTTTTTCTTTTTTTAAGATGACTAAATTAGTTAGCTGGTGATAACTTTTAGAGAGGTACTTGATATTTTTTAAGATCACTAGATGTTGTATATCTATAGAAAGAAACTTCAGCCTTTCATAGCTCTTATAACAACCACATAACCCCCATTATCTTTTTTTTTTTTTGTCTTCTTCTTTCACTTTTATTTCTTTTAGTTTTAGCTAAACTACAATCACACACCTGTAATCTTGCTGCCTCTAGATAAAATATCTGTTTTGGTATGCAATATGATAATGGTAAAGGATTTGAAGGTTACTGGACTAGACAAGTCCTCTTAATGATTTAGACCAAAAACGAAAGAAACATTATATAGCTTTAATTTACCTCAAGAGGAGTCTGTTCCAACCGGAATAACCGGCGTGGATGAGATTTTGTTCGGTAATACTCCTTTGACTCTCATCTCGGCCTGTAAGCAGAATGATAGTGAAACCAAGTTCCTTGAGAGCTTTGTAAAGCCTCAAGCTCGCATCAAAACCTGGTACTTTTCCTGTTACCACCCACTCATTGAACAGAGTATTGTCGTACGGTTCAGACCTAAATCCACAATAATCAAAAACCCACTTAGTACGATATATAGCAAAAATAATGCGAATAAGAAAAAAGCACAAAACAAAATTATACCGAGAAGAACAGAACTAATGGTCAACGAAGTTAGTCAAATATAAAAAAAAAAAAAACATGTTGTATATGAAACAAAATCTAAGCTAGGGCATGATAATAGAGAGAGAGAGAGAGAGAGAGAGAGAGAGAGAGAGAGAGAGAGAGAGAGAGAGAGAGAGAGAGAGAGAGAGAGAGAGAGAGAGAGAGAGAGAGAGAGAGAGAGAGAGAGAGAGAGAGAGAGAGAGAGAGAGAGAGAGAGAGAGATCATGCATGGGGCATTATGTATATTATTACCCGTAACCATGAGCCTTGTAGTACGCAAGATTCGAGAGAAGCGTCTCATCGATGTCGAAGACCCACGCGTCCTTGCCGTAGCCGGCAAGATCGATGGTTTTAGCGTATGCGATGGCGTAACTAGCGAGTACATCGTAATCTTTGTCGAACTGGCCTCCGTCTATGTAGTTTTTAATGTACCTAACGCATTGACGTGGAACCACCTCCCACTTGCCGGCATTGTCGGTCTCCACAGCCAATCTCCAGCCCTCGCAGTAGGAGGCGACGGAAGGAAGATGGGCGTGAAGAGATCGCCGGATTGATCAAGACGGCCAATAAAGTGAGGATGAAGAAGGAAACGGAGCTGCTACAAGATAACGTCATTGCTGATGAGGCTTTTCTCAATTATGTGTGTCTTGTGCAGATGGAAGAACAAGACTGGTCCTGATTTTAAAGTGGATTTTTTTACTAGGTTATCGATCGTACTTACTTCCCCCCACATGGTTCTTACGCAAAACTTCAACGTCGATGTAATTATGAACTTTCGAAGGGTACAAAAATGTTACAGGCTGTATTATATAACACTGTATATATAAAACGTTGTCAAACAAAAAAAATAAATAGTAGAGTTAGTTAGAGTGAACATGATCTTTTATGTTGCGGATTAATATTGTGTGCACTATATAGATCCGTCCATTGTATAAAGTAGATTATCATTTTAGAATGTTGTGTATACCGTAGATTATCATTGTAAATGTTTATATTACCCAAAAATATATGATGGATAACTATGAAAATAAACACTTGAAATAAAATGATCAAAGATTTCGGACATTAATCATAAGAAATTCAAGAAATTTATAGGGAGGGATCTGAAAGTTTGGTTGGTAATGATTAAGATAAAATTAATCATCACTATATCTAATTTTATTAATTTTTTAAATCATCATCATCAATCATTAGTTTTTTTTTTTGTATTCCAAATCTGGCCGTAATTGTCTTTTAAAAATAAAAAGGAAGGTGACTGAAATCTTTTGTTTTGTTTTTCTTTCTTTTCAGAATAGTTATACAATCATAATTAAGAAGGCCTGAAGAATTTTGAGAAATATAGATTCAAGCATAATTATTATCTTAATTAAAAAAACATTACAATATTATTCAGAATTGGTCTCTTTAACAATTATAGGTACAAAAACACTTAGGATCTTTACCAAATTTGGGTTTTAAACATTTTCCAACTCCATTGTACCCATCATAGCAGGAAAGACGACAGTCAACAAGATCACAATATGGAGTTTTTGGATTAATGATTATAGTACATAGTTTCCCCTTAGCTTCCTCAACCACTGAATAATATATACAAAATAAATGGTGATATATGTAATAATGTAAATAATGACAATTAACTTTTTGATGTTCTGGAAGTAGAGAGAACATGAAAGAGACTATACCTGAGAACACAAGAATGAGTACTAGGAGGAAATAAGAACATGATATCTTGGCCATGATCAATGAATAAAATATATATCACAACAAGTGACAAAGCTAACTTCTTTGCTTTATTGTTAATCAGTGTTCATATATATACATACAAGGGTAGTAGATACATGAAAACATCTAAACATAAAAAGGAAAGTAGCTGAATGTTAAAAAGTATAGGGTTGACTACATTGATCACTATATGCATCTTTTCACTCTCTCCATATTATAGCAATTAAATTAATTCATTCATTGAAAGAATTTTTTTTTTCTTTTTTTATTACGTGTATTATTATACATAAAAACGTTTCAACTCCATCCCGTAAAATGATACTTACAAAGTGTCTCCAAAGTTTAAACAAATAATTATTAGACTATGATTTTCTTAGCACGTTATTATAGATCATTAACAATCTCCTCTGAATCTCTGATTATGTTAGTATATGTGGTTATGTTGATTTGGATTTTATGGTGGTTATTAATTCGGATTTCAGACAACTAAAAATTTTGATATAAGAACACGTGCATATATATAATGAAGAAGAGAGAGTCGTCCCTAGCTACTCCATGCATGGTTTTCGTCTTTTTGTCTTCAGCTCAGCTGCTCCATTAGTTTTCTTTATCCCTAGTCCCTATCTAAGTTATTTCAAGAACTCGTGGCCTCGTCTCAGACTCTCAATTTTTCGCATCTTCATACAGATTACGAAGATATTAACTCTGAGTAATTCGTTTATTTGGTTGTCACTGTCAGTATACAAATTGAAAGATTTCTTCGAATTTGCATGGTGGTGTTATTTTTATATTATGCCGACATCACCTTGCTCCTAATTTTTATATTTACTAGGTAATTTCCCGCGCATATGCGCGGGTTATTGTATATTTATTTAATTATTTTAATTTATTTATTACTTATTAAATAGAAACATACATCCATATCTTTTGAATTTATTCGTTGATTGATTTTTCAATTAATCAATTTTGATAGTAATTTTCTTTAGTATTTTTAAGTATTTTTTGATAAAACAATAATATTGTTAATGATAAAAATAGGAATGATATTGGGAGAATTTAGAAAATACCCTTTTAAAAATATCACTTTTTAAATTTACCCCATTTTCAAACTTTATCAAAACAACCACTAAAAATGTTGAAATTTATCCAAATATGTGTGTAAACTTATAAATATACACAAAAATTACCTTTATTTGTGTATAAAATTTTATTTATTTCAATGTCTTACAAATTGGTTTGAATATAACAAAAACATATTTTGTTAAAATAATTACATACTTTGAAAATAAAATAAATATACATGAATATGTGAGAAAGAAAAAAACATATAAAGTAAAACAATGAAAATGGTTTATTTAGCTTGATTTTCTTATGGTGCGATTGTCAGAAATCAATACTTTTGAATCTCATCGATAAAGTAATTTTCTTATAGCCATAAAATATTATTATACATATGTATTATACATTTAATAGTATAAAAAACAATGAAAAAATGAAGAAGTACATAAAATAAAGAAGAAATATAATTGAAAACAAAAGTTTTAACCAAATATATAATCAAGCTCTTACAATGATATCTTAATTGAGCTTTCAACCCATGCAAGAACATTAAAAATT